GTGCTGAAGTTCCGAAGTGTCAAAGTTCCAAACTATACTTAAATAAGCCTGAACATGAATCCAGCTGTTAATAATCTTCCATCCACAGTCCAATGTACAGAGGCAAATCATAAGGTTACAAGGATAAGTCGTTGATGCAGGTAGCAAACACATTTTACCCAAACATGTTTCGTGCCAAGTATCAGGGGTTTGTGAACACTTTCTGTTCTTTCAAGAGTGTCAGCCTACAGCAACAAAGTTGGCGTGTTTCACCACACACATTCTCTTCTTGATCGAAGTTGGCAAGAGTTCCCTGTATATTCAAAGCCAGCATCCCATACAACAAACAAGATGTACTTGCTGGAGGCATCCTCTGGATGCTTCTTTGTCACAGAAGTATTTATTAGTTTTATAGAAACCAAGATCTGAAAGGTTTAAAAACAAGACAAGCAAATTAAATATATAGAGTTAGTAAATGCAAAAAACAAACAAATAATGTAATAAAATAACTATTAAAATAACTATTAGCAAATAAGTCATATATATGTATATCAAAGCTATCTAGGTAGTAAAACTTAATATGGATGACAATTTGGAACTACTGTAGTGCACACCAAGACATATTTAGATGTGTATGTAAAAGTAATGGGATGTGTCAAAAATGAGAGACAGAAATAAAGTATTTTTTATTAAAGGGACTCCAGACCCCTGAAGCACTTAGCTTATTGAAGTACTTTATGTGTGAAGATTGTGTCTTCTTTTTTATTTTACATTTTATTTTATAAAAAGTGGAGATTTTAATAAAAATGTGAACTTTTATAAATTAACCTACTTACACCCCTTTGACTGTCAATCAGACAGCTGGTCATGTTACTTCCTGGTTTGGTTAGCTCAGTGGAACTAAACTCAAGAGGCAGCAACTGGCCAGAGCACCTGCGTAGCAAAGACGTCTCATTGAGCTGCATTGGGAAGTCTGTGATTGGACAGACACAAAGTCAGGAGGGCAAGAGATCTGTGGGTCATCCCTCTAAAGCTGTATTCTCTAATTGGTTGCTTCAGCCAACAGTATTCCGATGGTTAAAAAAAATAACGTTGATTTCTGACTGTTGTTTCTTGCAATGTCTTGGATGGCTTTATAATATATTGAGACTTATTTGTTTTATCGTGCACTAGACTACAGAGCCCAGAAAGAAAGACATTGCCAGCAAACTTTTTCACTGCTGAGGCACAGAAACATTTGAATGTATCTGGTCTAAGCTGGGAGTTCAGGAAGGTCCCAGAGCTTCGGTACTGTTTCTCGTTTGCTGGATTAATAAGGAAAGGCCTCCGTTTGTAGTCAGGGATGATAGGAGTAACTTGCTGGTCGAGCAGAAGCGATGTTGGACTAGTTGACTGTGTTTTTTGTCCGAAATTGTTAGAGAAAAGTTTTTAAATAAAGAAAAGGTTTGCAAAAAAAAATGATTGGAAACTGCAGGAGCTGCACAGTTTGCATCTAGATCTTATCAATGCTAGACTACGCTCCCAGATGCAATTTTTTTATGTATTTGTTTCATTAAACCAGGGAAGAAATTGCAAATGTTAAGAAAAAATGACCACATTAACACAATAATCCAATTCAGTTATTTTTCCAGCTGTGTGAATCCAAATGAACAAATCTATCATTGACACAACTCTCACCTCTTCCCTTCCATAACCAAACATTTCAATATTCTTCATCTTACGCAAAACACTTTTATTTAATTTTAGAAAACTGGCTTATGGCAATATTTAAACTAAATGGAGAGAAAAAAACTAAGCTTTCTCCCAGTCTGCATATTTTTTTTTATCCTTCTCTGAACCTTTTCACGAACGCTCTTATCGTTGAGAATAGAACAATTTTATAAAATGCAACCCACAAATCCACTCAGCCCACACACTCCCAATATATTATTCAGATTAAGGAGCTAAACTGTGAAATCCCCAGCAATACTGCCATCTTCAGGTGAGGCCAAAAGATTTTTTATTTTTTTATTTTTTTTTACCTGCTGTCTGTTTTAGTTTTTACTGTGGCCTATAAGTACCTTATTAACATCAAGCTTATCAGATAACAAATATTGTAAATGTGTAACTATTTTTGTCAACACCAGCTGAGCCAATGAGATTTAATTTAGCTTAAAAGTAAAGCACCTGTCAGCTTCAGCACCAGAGAATTGGAATGCCGGTGGGAGGGAGTAAATGGGGGTGGCAGTGAGGCGATTGTAACCCCCTTTACTTCCTGCCTATCATTTTAATGTTAAGTGCTCTCTGCAGGGTCCTAGAACCCTTAATAAAGCGTGAGCATGTCTAATGATGTGCTTACGCTACATTTGTTGGGGACAGTTTTTTCCTGTTTATGGGAACACCACGGAACTAAATCTGGACAGCAAAAAGGGACCCAAAAATCGAGACTGTCGTGCCAAAATTGGGACGGTTAGGAGGCATGCCTTATAATGCATAAAAACGACATATGTAATAGCAGGTATTCCTATAGTTATTGCCTAACTAACATCATGTTTAGCTTACCGTCATGGGTTGGTGTTTAGACAATAGTTACAGTGAAACACCAAGTTCCGCTTGGCCCAATGAGGACAATATAAATGGGACATGCATCACTTGACAATTTTTTTTTAACCAGCAAAAACTTATAAACAAATATCTAAACTAAAATGAAACAATAAACGTTTGAAAAGTAATAAACATTAACAAACTTACTATAAACTTTGTCAGCCTGCTTTCTCTGGCACGCCTGTAAGTTTCTTCACCCCTCTCCCCTCCTCCCGACTCTTAACGTACCCACCTCTCACCTACCCACTTATCTAGCCATTCAAGAATACTACGTGCATGATCCTGACTTGCAAAACAATAATGCTTAAAGGGACACTATAGTCACCTGAACAACTTTAGCTTAATGAAGCAGTTTTGGTGTATAGAACATGCCCCTACAGCCTCACTGCTCAATCCTCTGCCATTTAGGAGTTAAATCCCTTTGTTTATGAACCCTAGTCACACCTCCCTGCATGTGACTTGCACAGCCTTCCATAAACACTTCCTGTAAAGAGAGCCCTATTTAGGCTTTCTTTATTGCAAGTTCTGTTTAATTAAGATTTTATTATCCCCTGCTATGTTAATAGCTTGCTAGACCCTGCAAGAGCCTTCTGTATGTGATTAAAGTTCAATTTAGAGATTGAGATACAATTATTTATGGTAAAAAAAAATTTCATGCAGGCTCTGTCAATCATAGCCAGGGGAGGTGTGGCTAGGGCTGTATAAACAGAAACAAAGTGATTTAACTCCTAAATGACAGTGAATTGAGCAGTGAAATTGCAGGGGAATGATCCATACACTAAAACTGCTTTATTTAGCTAAAGTAATTTAGGTGACTATAGTGTTCCTTTAACAATAAATAGAAAAAAGCAACATTTTGGAGACTAGATCTGTAATCCACTAAGTGATAGATATAGGACTTAAGTTTTCTTATACTCCAAAATAGGGTTTGTTAACAGGATACAGTGCAAGGGTTCACCTCACAGCATAACCACTACAGCGGGCTGTAAACCAAATCTGAAATTCGCTTTCAATCCCGACAATTCTAATGTCAATGAATAACCCTGAGTGTGTAAAGTGAATTAGTCAGAAAACTGTGTTCTGTTTGCAAATTGATTAATCATGTTTTATCACATCTACTACATAACTATTCTGCTGAACTGTGGGAGCCATGCTAAGATATGTATTATATTGCCAATATATCTTCTACTTGCTAATAAAATATAAACAGTGGCAAAGACTCACGCATTATCTTACAATACATCTCTACTACTGCATTTGCTGATGCGTGTTTTAAAAATGTTTGTTTTCTCACATTTAAAACAGGACAAACGCTGCCTTATGTTACATATATGAATAGTTCTAATTTTAATCTATAGCAATAATATTACATATTTTCCTCTATGCTACAGATTGGATTGCGTACATGTATTCCCACTGGTATAAGAGAGGTATATATTTGTAGGCAATATTATTTGACATTTTCATTTCTTGGTAATCGGGCTGTCCCGGTCTCCCTGAATAGAAACATAGAATGTGACGGCAGATAAGAACCATTCGGCCCATCTAGTCTGCCCAAATCCAATTAATTATACTGTATATGCCATCTGTAAAGTCGGTACCAACTTATTGTGAAGTGCTTGCTTTGGCATCGAGGGTAAGGCTCATACATTTTAGGTCTTCATTTAAAATAGAAACAAAAATGGTGAGGTATGCAGATCGAATGCACACATCAACAGAATGAATCTAGGCCAACAATGGATAGCCGTGCTCTTTTTAGACAGACATGGGCATAGATTCAATGCCAATAGTGTGTCTCACCAGATGGAGGGGGAGCGTATTTTAGAACGAAATATTTTGTTGAAATTTATACATTTGCCAGCGATTTCGCTAGCACAATGTACAGATGAAATGTCATCAGGAATCCATTTACAGTAAGTTAAATAAGCAGGTACACTTTAATGATAAACATTTATTTCTTCCTTCCCGAACCAAAGTGTGATGTGGAGAACTGGAACTAATGGTTCTAACTGTATACACGTCTTACTTTAGATATAATGCAGAAAGTCACCTGGAGAACAAAAATTTGTTTGTTATACAGCGATATACAAAAATAATGTTGTAAAAAAATCAAAAACATTTACACGGGGGGGGCGGGGCCTGAACGCAGAGCTGAGCAGATGCACACAAGCACAGCTCCTGCTCTGCACAATCTTTCACTCGACGAAACGACACAAATAAGCCCAGAAATGCGATCAAATGAGCTATCGACGGGTAAACGAAGTTAGACTGAACAGTTTAATACCACACACGAAGCAATCCAAGCCGGTTTGCCAGGATCCGCATCTGAGGCCTAGCATGAACAGCAGCCTGATTGCCGGGAGAGGCGGCCGATCTCCCAATGCTGGGTTGGTACCGCATTGCAGCTCTTCTGTTCCCCTGCTACCCCCCCCTATGGACCGGCGGGGGATATCCCGCTCCCCGCTGGAGACTCAGATTTACTTACCACAGGGGGAACTGCAGTCCGGCGGCAAATCGCATGAGGCATCTAAGATGGCCACCAAGCCATGTCCTGAACATGCTACAGATGACCCAGGGCTCCAGCATTGGAGGCAGCGCTTCGAAGCCCGGTTTGACCAACTCTGCAGGGCCTTCTGGATGCTACTACAGCACAAACCTTCCTCTCAAACCCCGCATGAAAAGCAGGGGCACGCACCAGAGGCTGCACGTCAGATCCACTCCGAGCACGGGATCCATACATAGGTATGCCCGCTTCGCCGCCCAAACACCTGGAGGGCTCCCCGCAAGCCCCAGGGCTCCAAAACCCAGGTACACGCTGGGCAAGGCACGGCCACGTGGCCACCCACAAAGCGACGTTACTCAAAGCTGAAGACAACGGAGAAGCAGCGGAGGGCAGCTGGACACGGCCAATACAAGAGCTCCCATTACAGACCTGCCTATGGCCCTCTGGAACAAGCAAAGGTCGCAAGGAGCGACCCAAACGACCACTCTAACAAACGGGACACTCACCAAGCACCAATACCCCCCAGAGAAGAAAAGAGAGGTACCGCTTACCCCACTGGGAGTCCTGGGAGCTTCCCGAACCGGGGGATTGGCTGAGCCGGAGACACCCTGAAAACGGAGGGCTGAGCATCTAACCTCTGAGTCCCCAAGGTTCACAATGGACACCATCTTGTTACAATGACATACCGTACCATCATAACTGCCCTGTGTCCCAGCGGCTAATTGGCTACCTAACTAGCGAGCACTACACACACGAGTATAATTTTTTTTCCCCTTTTTTTTTGTTATTTTTTTTTATCCAATCAATTTTTATTGAGATAATAAAGTACGTGGGAAACAGAAGGAAAGAAGGATAACAATCAAGGTTTTACATTTCAGATATAGCCATATATCCAACCTCCCATATCAATGCTCTCGTCAATTACCTTGGGTAGAAAATAATAGTAACAAGCAACTTTTAGCGAACTGTGTCAAGCCCTCTATGAGCGCCTTCGTGAAATGAGGCATTTAGTTTTGGGCTGTCAACCTGGTAGAGCGCTCTTCTTGTCTCTTGGTTTCTCATGTGTGTGCAAGAGTGTATGCTATGTACATAGTTGGAGTGTGTTGATCAGCGCAAGTCAGGGTTCAGTTCGGTGTCTTGGTGGGGATTCTCTCTGGTTCGTCCGGTTAGGGGGGTGACCTCTAGTTAAGGGGCCGAGCTGGTGGACAGTCGTGGGAAGCCGCTGGTGTACTGGTGCTGGGTGGGGCGTGTCAACTCCCTGTCCGTCGCGTCCAGTTTGCTATGGTTGCGTGCTCGTCGAGTTGGTCAGGGTACTCAGTGTGGGATGTCCGCCTGTCCCCCCCGTTGGACCTGACTGTATTCCCCACCCAGGGTTTGGCTCCAGGAGCTGTCCCCCTCCAAAGTGTCCCCCCCTCCCAGGCCCCACTCCCGACCACCTGTCCGGGCCATGGGTTCCCCCTATCCCCTGACCAACACAGTCATGCCAATGACCTCCTGACTGGGGGGAAAGAAAAAGGTGTGCAGTGGGAAAGGAAGAGAAGAAGGAAGAAAAAAAAAAAAAAAGGGGGGGAAGGGAGGCTGGTAGGCGGACTCCTTTATCTCATATGATCACTGGAGGGGCGGATCTAGGGCTTCCCTGGTTCTCCGCTACCCAGTGGCAGCCATTCCTGCGGTTCCTCTCTGGGCTATGTAGGTGCACCAAGGGAGCCAGGTGATAGCACATTTGTCTCCCGTGCCGTGTAGCGATGCCGAGAGGGATTCCATACTGTAGATGTCCTCCACACGTTCCATCCATTGCTCCATCGACGGTGACTCCGTCGCGCGCCATTTGGTGGGGATGAGGGTTTTTGCCGCATTTAGTAGGTGTTTGGTCAGGGAGCGTTTGTATGTAGCTATAGGGCGTGTGGTGTGGTGGAGTAGCATCGGCAAGGGCTGGAACGGTAGGTCCGGGTCCGCGATGCTTTGAATTTTAGAATGAATTTGTTTCCAGTACTGCTGGATTGTAGGGCACGACCACCATATATGGTAGTCTGACCCACCCTCGGCTCTGCACCTCCAGCAAACGTCAGGGGTTTCTCGATTCATGCAATGTAGTTTCGCTGGGGTTTATACCAGTTGACCATAATCTTGTAGTTAAGTTCCTGCAGTTTTGAACTGAGCGTGCCTTGGTGTGTTAGCACGTGGATCTTCTCCCATTGTTGGTCCGTCAGTGTTTGGTCTGTCGCGCGTTCCCAACGGGACATATATCGTGGTGGTGCGCGTGGTGTGGCGGTAAGCAGTAGGGTGTAGAGTCGTGTGATTCCTTTCAGTGGTCGATCCCTGGCCGCACACGTGCTCAAAAGCGGTTAGCTCTCTATGAAATAAATGTTTGCCCACCGTAGTTCGGTAGAAATGCTGAATCTGATGATGGCGGAACCTAGTCATTAGAGAGATGGTGCCGTCTGGGATCAGTTCCCTCAGTGTTTTCAGTCCCGTTGCGGCGCATAGCTGTTTCATGTACGTCCAGTCCGGGTCCCCGAGTCCCAACACATCCCCCGGTCGTAGTCCGTCAGCGATATCTGGGTTATGGGTAATAGAGGTCAGAGGACCCGGCGTTGTAGTGAGGCCGTCCTTCAGGCGAGTGGCAGTCCAAACCTGCGTCGTGGCCCTGATAAACGGGTTGTGGGTCATTCTAGGGTCCTTTAGGGGGTGCGCTGTCCATATCGCGGCTGGCAGCCTTCGATCCACTTGTACGTTCTCTAGTTCCCTCCATAGCTTGTCTGAGTTTAGTGTGTGCCAGTCCACCAGCCGAAGCAGGTGGGTGGCCCTGTAGTAATGGACTAGTGAAGGGAGGGCTAAGCCCCCCATCCTCTTGGGCAGCGACAGGAGCGCCCCGTTAACCCTAGGTCGTCCCGTCTTCCACACAAATTTTATCATCGCCGTATTCAGCGTCTGAAAGAAGGTCCTGGGTATCATAATTGGAACGGTCTGGAAGAGGTAAAGAAGCCGCGGAAGAAGGTTTAGTTTTAAGGCATTGATTCTCCCGAACCATGAAATGCACAGGCCGCCCCAAGTCGTCATGTCGTGCTGTAGTGTGCGGAGAATGGGGACAAAGTTCTCCTGGAATAGGCGCTTCGTGTCTCCGGTGAGCCATATGCCAAGGTATTTGAGCTTATCCGCACACCACTTAAATGGGTACTGTGTCCGTAGGTGAGTCGTGTCTGCGGTAGTTAGGTTTAAAGGGCAGGCTTCCGACTTCTCAGCATTGAGTTTAAGGTTGGAGAGCAGGCTGTACTCCCGGAACCTTGCTAGTAGGTTCGGGAGAGAGATGAGTGGGTTGGCCAGAAAGAAGAGGAGATCATCCGCGTATGCCGCGACTCTCTGCTCCAGACCTTTATAGGCGAAGCCCGTGATTCCCCCATCCCGTCTGACCGCCCCCAGGAATGGTTCCAGGGAGAGGGCAAACAGGAGGGGGGACAGCGGGCACCCCTGTCTCGTGCCGTTACGGATGTTGAATGGCTGTGTTAGGGCCCCATTGATGCGCATACGGGCTGTTGGTGTCGTATAAAGGGCAGCTATCCAGGTCATCATATGGGGCCCGAATCCCATCGTACAGAGCGTCGCCAGCATGAACCCCCAGTCCACCCGATCGAACGCCTTCTCGGCGTCGGTCGAGAGGAGGACCCCCCTCCGGCTGCTCCCCGCCAGGTGAATCACGTTGAGGACCCTGATGGTGTTGTCGCGTGCCTCCCTGCCTGGGATGAATCCCACTTGATCCGGGTGCACCAGGTCCGGCAGTACGCGCCCCACCCGTAAGGCCAGTATTTTAGTGAACAGTTTCAAGTCAGAGTTGAGTAAGGAGATCGGCCGGTAACTAGAACAGTTCGTCAGGTCCTTTCCGTCTTTTGGGATAAGAGAGATAGTGGCAGCCAGTGTATCTCTCGGGAGGTGGCCGCCTTCTAGTAGGTGATTCAGGGTTCCCAGGAGGTGTGGCAGCAGGATGTCTTGAAACTTTTTATAATATGCCGCGGGGAGGCCGTCAGGGCCTGGCGCCCTGTGGGCTCTGGCGATCTTAAGAGCATATTTGAGTTCCTCCAGGGAAATGGGTTCCTCCATGTCAGCCCTTTGGTCGTCCGTGAGAGTCCGTGAGATATGTTGTTCCAGGTAGTGCGTGATATCGGTTTCACGCCTCTTCCGGGCTGCTGCACCTCGCGTTTCTGGGATGTTATATAAGTCCGTGTAGAAGTGGTGGAAGGCCGTCGCTATTCCGTCTGGGCGTTGAGTGAGCACGCCAGTCTGGTCCCGGATCTTGGTTATGTGTGTGAGTCTCCGTTCCCTTTGCAGGCGCCTGGCCAGGAGCCTCCCGCATTTGTCCGAGTATTCATAGAAGTGTCGTCGGGATCTGTGAATGGTTCGGAGAAGGCCCTGCGAGAGCAATTGCTTGAGGTTTCTCCGCGCCTCCAGGAGTTCTCTGTAGGTATCCTCTGAGAGGGTAGATTTATGTAGAGTTTCGAGGGTTGCCACTTGTTGTGCCAGGTCCGTGACTGCTTGCCTTTGGGCCGTCTTCCGTTGGGTACAATAACGTATGAGATGGCCGCGGATCATACATTTATGAGCCTCCCATATCATCGGTGGTTCCACGTCTGGGGTGGTGTTCTCCTCAAAGTACTTCTGCAGTGCGTCACCCATCTCCACTGTCGCCTCCAATTCCTCCAAGACCTGCTCGTTGAGCCGCCACTGCCTCTCCCGTGGCCTGTACAGCGGGGAGGCGATCTTAGTCCAGACCGGAGCATGGTCCGACCAGGTTGCCGTGTGGATCCCACTGGAGTGCAAGAGCGAGAGGTATTCAATGGGGAGGAAGATATAGTCCAACCGACTGTAGCGACTGTGGACCGTAGAGTAGTAGGAGTAGTCCCTCCTCTGTGGGTGAACCACTCGCCACGAATCCGCCAACCCCGCGTTCTTGAGGGCCACCAGGGCCTTGCGTTGGTAGGAAGCCGGTAGTGAGCTAGTTCCTAAGGAGGTGTCTAGCCGTGGGTCCAGGGCTAGGTTAAGATCCCCCGCCAGGATCAGCAGGCCCTCTCTGAAGCGGTCCAGGGCATGTAAGGTGCGTGTCAGGAAGTGGTGCTGTGCCGTATTGGGTGCATAGACACATGCCAGGGTATACAGATGTCCGGCAATCGTGCCTTTCACGAATATATAGCGGCCTTCTGGGTCTGCCAGTTCAGCTTGGCTTTGGAAAGGCACTGTGCGGGCGATGAGAATTGCCACCCCCGACTTTTTGGCATGTGGGTGGTTGGCAAAGTATCCCGTCGGGAATGCGGGTGTCTCGCAGCGTCGGTGCATTTCGCCCCTGGAAGTGAGTTTCCTGGACGAATGCCAGAGACGCGCGTGCCGCCCACAGGGTGCGGAGAAGGTGTGAGCGCCGTTCCGGGGCGTTAAGGCCCCTAACGTTGTTCGACCACAAGCAGAGATCCGCCTGCTGAAAGTGACCTGCCATCGTCCTTGGATATGGGGCGTGGGGGGGAGGTTAAACCGGTAGCTGTAAGGAGGAGCGTAGAGGGAAAGGGTGAAGAACGTAGTAGAGAAAGAGAGGGAGTAAAAGAAAGAGAGAGGAGGTGGGGTCTGAGAGCGAGGGCCAGTCAGGAGTCAGGTCCCGGTGTAGGTCAGGTCCCGCAACCAGGAGTCAGCCCCAGGTCCCCTGTCTCACCCACCCCCGTCCCCGCACCTCGTCCTAGGTGAGTGGTGCCGGTATTGGCTCAACGCACTTGGTGTGTACCTGGGGGGTCGGTCCAACTGTCGACAGTCGTCCCTAGGTCGCACCGTAGGTGTCTGTACAGGTGTGCGTCTGCCCGTGGGGCGTGTCTGTAGTCAAGGGTTCGTTATCTTGTCGTGTGTGGTACTGTGGTATCCTCAGCCGTCCATGGCCGTCACCGCCCTACCAGGAAGTGTAATCCCCGTAACCGAATACTGTGAAGGTGCGGGCAATATGTCAGACTAATTGTGTGAGAGCCTTGTGGATAGGTCTAGGACCCAGGAGGGACCCAATTTCTGCATCGTAAGCACACCCCGTGCCCCCTCCACCTCTTATATGATCCCCTTCCGGGCTTACCATGCGGGCCAGAGCCCCCCCCCCACCCCCCAGGACCCACAGGCCCCCCCCAACCCCCACCCCCCCAGCGGCACCGGACACACTCCTAAGGTCACAGTCCTCAGCTCCAGTCCAAAGCATAGTGTCCCATGCAAGCCGCTCCCACCTACCCCCCGCCCCCACCAAGAGCGAGTCCCACGGTCCACCCCCAAACCCCCAACATCTCAGTCCAATGGTGCCTCCAGGCCAGTGCCCCCCGGTGGAGCCAGAGAGGGGGGGAGGACACGAGGGGGGGGGAGAGGGAGGGAGAAGGGCGAGGGAAGGGGGGGGAGGAGAGGGAAGACGGGGAAGGGTGAGGGAAGGGGGGGAGAAGAGGGAAGAGGGGGGGAGGGGGAAGGCCCACCAACCGCTACAGTTCATGCAGAGGGGCCACGGGGCGCCCGCCCCAACGCAGGGTCAAGGTTCCACATCACTCCTCTGCCCCCGCTGGTCCTCCCCAGCGGCGCGGCGGTGACATCTGGCCCAAGTGGGTTGCAGAGGGCTGCAGGCCCGTGTCCTCTCCCCTTCGAGGGCCCAGCGGTTCATCCAGCAGCCAGTTGCGAATCCGGATAGGGGGAAGGTGAAGTGCCCGAGCGAATCTCGGGGCATCATCTGGCATCCTGAGTGTGTGCCAGGAGGATCCCTGTCAGGCTTGGAGGCTGAAGGGGAACCCCCACTTGTAGGGGATCCCCTTGTCACGCAGGGCTGCTGTGATAGGCCGCAGCGCCCTCCTGGCGTCCAGTGTGAGGCCGGAGAGATCCTGGAAGAGCGCCAGATCAGCTCCCCTGAAGGTGACTGTCGGTAGGTTCCTGGCTGCCGCCATGATCTGCTCCTTCTGCGGGAAGGAGTGAAGACAGCACACCACATCTCTGGGTCTGCCGTCCGGCCTAGCTTGTCCCAAGGCGCGGTGGGCCCGGTCGATGCGGATGATGGGCGGCGCGTCAGGACCTAAGAGCTGGCAGAAGAGCTGTTGCAGGGTGGTCGCCAGGGGTTCTGTATCAGGCTCCGGCAGGCCCCTGATCCGGACATTGTGCCTCCGGCTGCGGTTCTCCAGGTCCTCCACCTGGCGTCTGAGGCTCAGCAGCATATTACCCTGTCTGGTGGCCGCTGTCTCTGCTGCTCGGTGCTGCTGGCAGCAGATCCGTGCTTCTGCCTCCACTGTGTCCACCCGCTCCGTGAGGGCCATGAGGTCTGTGCGGAGGCCCTGCAGATCCTCCCGGACCGCCTCCCTTATCTCCCGAACCAGGGCCCCCGTGTCTGCTTTGGTGAGCATGCTGCTCCCTATCCTCGAGAGCTCAGCCCTGATGGAATGAAGGGCATCGACGGGGCTGAAGTCGGGCATGGAGTCCCCCCCGCTGGTTGCACTGGGGGAGACAGCCGCCATATTGTCAGAGGGCGCCGTGCCCCGGAGCCCGGCCGGGGTGCTGAGGAAGTCATCCAGGGTGCCCATACCGCGTCTCGGTGACCCCGGGGGCATGCTCCCAGTGCCGGTATGCTTCTTGGTCCGCACCATCGCTAGCTATAAGGGGGTAGAATGCTGATTATGGCGGTTTGGGCCTAGGAGCTCGGCTAGTGTGCGACTGGCGCCATCAACGTCCAGGCCATGCCCCCCTCTTTTTTTGTTATTTAATACATAGCTCGCAGATTATCACCTTATCACTGGGACATCTCATCTCACCTTTTATATATAGGTGGCTTGTTTAGCGACATTCAAACATAAGAGTTGCCATGTTGTCAGCTACACTTATAGCACACATATAGTGTTAACTTTTAAGAATTTTATTATCTCTATAGTTGCATAATATCACATACGATGCCTTCACTTAAGTTAAGAGATGACAACAAAGTCGATGATGATGTCTGCCATGCATGATTAATCACTAACTGATCCAAGCAATAACCATGCAGATTGCAATGTTAAGCTATGTTATATGTTTATCTCTTTCACTTAACCCCAAAAATTAGAGGGACAAAGGTTTAAAAATAATATCAGGAAGTATTACTTTACTGAGAGGGTAGTGGATGCATGGAATAGCCTTCCAGCTGAAGTGGTAGAGGTTAACACAGTAAAGGAGCTTAAGCATGCATGGGATAGGCATAAGGCTATCCTAACTATAAGATAAGGCTAGGGACTAATGAAAGTTTTTAGAAAATTGGGCAGACTAGATGGGCCGAATGGTTCTTATCTGCCGTCACATTCTATGTTTCTATGTTTCTATGTTTCTATAGTGTTGTTTCCTTCTGTGTATCAACTGGTTTGCTTCAGTTATTGTGGCAAAGCAAACTTGCCTGTTAATTATTTGCACAAATAAAATAAATAATTAAGAAAAAACAAAAACATTTACACGACCTTATCAACGTTGTGGACCTGTCCCCTTCCCTACCAATATAAATATTCATGATGTATACAAATCAAAGTAACCAACGTGTAAATTTCAGAAATCACCAACTCTAGACCAGCTAGAGAGACCATTTTATTTTGTGCCTCTGGATTTCCAATATTCCTCTCACTTTTGTTAGAAGATGATTGGTTCTGACAACCAAGATAAGGTAACATATATTTGGTGTCTTCGTCCATGACTAAGACACAATAACACTAATTGGAAAATATAACAGATGATATACTTTTGTTAAAATGCCAAAAAGCACCATAACCTCTTTTGCTCTTTGCACAGATTATAATGCAGTTACTTAGACATTTTATCACTGTAACTATATGCCCACCATTTTACCTTAGCTATTAGAATGGGCCATTACCTCCAAAGTGACAGTTCTGATCTTAATGTGTGAATAAATACTTGCGGCGCACTCAGACTACAAAATATATAACACAAAGAAGGCTACATTTTAGTAGCCTTCTTTGTGTTATATTTTTTGTAGTCTGAGTGCGCCGCAACTATTTATTCTCTCATGTATGATCTTTGGTCACTGCGGCAGCACCTTTCATGCAAAATGCAGGTCCAGGGAGTACCCCCTATCCTTTTTCTGTACTGATCTAAATGTGTGACCGATTTTGGGAGGAATGGGAACATCAACAATGTTCAAACATCTAATGGAGAACCTTACCAAATGAGTGGAAGTTGATAAAATTACAATGGCAAGGGGGGATTAACATTCAGTACACATACACCCTTTTTTTGCAATGGAATGTTTAACAATCATGCCCTCACATATGTTTGGCCTTGTAGCAAATAAAATACACACAGATACGTTCAAATGTAAATGGAAAGAGGGCTCAGATCGTAAGGATAGCAAGTGGAGATACGGCACTACATGGCAATTTTATGTAGAAAGGTTAATATGATTTCAGGCCACTTTATAGGTGTTTAAAGAAGCAATCTAGGCATCGTAACCACTATATCACATTGCGGCACTTTGTTCACATTTTTTGAGAGATTTACCAAAAAAAAAAAAAGGCATGTAGTGCTTATGGTGCTTAGACTGCACCGTTAACACTATGGAATGTACGGCATGGTAGAATGTATGGGATAGGAGTAATATATAAGAAAAAGTAAGGATTAAAGAAAACGTGTCATTTAAAATACAAGATTTCATTTTTGACCTAGGGAGTATCATTTTGTTATGCATACATAGAAGTGAATACCTTTAGTCGGGGCATTGCTGGGTTTACCCTTGCTCTGTGGTTGGTTGGTAGCCATCTTTGGTTTCATGCACCAGTTAAAAAGACATGTAGGTAAACGTAAGTTTGTTTGCATTTATGAATCCTGACATCATGCTCAAGCATCGAGCACTGGCATGGCTTCAAGCCTCTGTATATGGCACTTTTGACAAAAGAAAGCAGCGAAGCGAAGTCAGGATATGTCCTAAATAGAGTTATGTGTATTTGTTAAAAAAATATATATACAAGGCTATATTATATGCATGTGTGTTTCAGTAATAAAAAAAAAAAAGAAAGAAAAGAAATAAAGAAATATGATGGTATAATTTAAACGAACACTCCAAGAGCAATAACCACTATAAGGCACTGAAGTGGTTATGGCTCTAGGAGTGCCCGGGTAACCCACCGTTGTAAGGAGTGAAACTATTTTAGAATAGTTTGACTGCTAACCTGTATTCTGCCAGTGCTGCTTCCTACCTCCAGAACAGACTCCAGAACAGCTAAGAGAGAGCTGGAAGCTCTCTTCACTGAGCATAGCCTGGCAGTACAAGGCTTAACGTATTGGCTGAGAGTGATTAGCTAACACTCTCAGTCAATGCGCTATCCCTGCACTGCAGAACTTCGCTCAGACGAGCTTATAGAAGTGTCCGGCAGCTCCGAGAAGTCAAACCGTTCTAAAACTGCTTGACTCCTTACAATGTGGGGAGCACCAGGGCCCTCCTTATACGATGACCAGTGTGGAGCTCTGTAGTGGTTGTGGATTATGGAGTGTTCCTTTAATCCAGTTTGTCTACGTTGGTCTAAAATTTGAAATTCACTTTAAATTCTCACTTTAGTTATATGGTTCTTGAAGCTATACTATAAATTTCACACTGGCCAATATGCAGGTTTTTATAGACACTCTTAACAGCAAAGCATTTAACAAGGCGGCACATGAGTAAGGGGAGAGGGGGAACATACGCACAGTATAGTAGCAATAATAGCCTGGGGACACGTGGGTGACAAGGACAGATATGCGAAGGGACATGCTTAGGCAGCAGAAGAAGTCTATGTTGATCTGGCTTTTCACAAGAAGAGGAGCACAGGAGATGAAAATTAGTGACAACAAAATTATAAAGAGCAACTTTAATACAATGAGTGAAAATCAATATAAAATGAAAAACAAATGTATTGAATTAGAAATAAGTATCAGTAAATCAATCAGCTGGATTGTCATCTTGAAGAGAAATTATAGGCCCAAAAACAGACATTTTACTTACTGTGAATTATATTTTCCTTGGAATAGCAGCAGTACATTAGGGATGTTCTACGTCAAGGTGGACAATATAGTCTATGAAATAAAATATGTTAATTAAAGGACATTATAGTGAGAGGAATACAAGCATATCAATATACTTTATTACATAGGGAGTGAAATCTGTATTACCATTATACTAAGGAAAAAAGAGTTTACAGTAAGCAAAATTTCTGGTTTTCTTGGCACATAGAGGCAGTACAGAAGAGATATAGCAATATCACAAATATGGGTGAGTCAGATAACAGGATGGTTTCTGAGCATGAAAAGATGTCAAGCCAGTAGTGAGGAATGAAGGTATTAAAGGAGGACAATGTAGCTGCCTTGCAGATATCCTCTGGAGAGAACAGTGCCTTTTATACCGAAGAGGTTGACATTGCTTTAATGGAATGTGTCTTTATGTGTGTAAAGAGAGGCTGACCAGTGACTTTACAGGCCATATCGATAGTATCTGTTAGCCACCTTGCAATTGTGGCTTTGGAAGCTTCGTTATCCTTATACGCACACTGAAAATTGACAAAAAAATGATCAGACGTTGTTATTGCCAATGACCGTTTGAGGTAAATCTCCGGAGCCCTCTTTACATCTAACAAGCAGAACTTGGCTTCCTAAGGAGAAAAAGTAGGTTGGCATATAGTGGGGAGAATGATAGGTTGACTAATGTCTTTAGAAATGACTTTTAGCAAAAAAAGAAGGCTTGGGATGAAGCACTCCTTTATCTTGACGGAAAATAGTAAAATTCAAAGAGCAGGAAAGTGCTTCTAGTTCACCAACCCGTTTAGCAGATGTAATTACCAAAGGGAAAGCTGTCTTCAAAGTAAATATATTTGTGGAAACTGGAGACTTAGTCCAGGGTTTCAAAGAGGTAATCACAGAGAGTGTTGAGAACCAGAGTCAAATCCCAGCAACACCGAATCCTGCAGAAAAACCATCTTGATAAAAACTTGAAGAACAACTTGAATGGAATATGATAAACTGAAGAAGTCATGGTCTTTACATCACACAAGGAATCATTTCCAGATTCTCAAGTAGATTTTAGAAGTAGATCCTTGTAGTAACCATGTAGTAGCCATGTCTGAACATCTGGAATGTTACAGTTGGAAGTTTTTTATTTTCCAATAACGGTTCTGAGAGAGGAAGTTCCCTGTTTGCCAAGGACATCTGTTTTAACGCCAAGAACCAACTCTGATTTGGCCAATATCGAAATTTGGCTATCACTGTTGTCTTGTCTGATCTGATTTTCTGTAGAATTCATGGAAATAGGGCAGTGGAAGGAAACACATAGGCCCATCTGAAGACTGTCTAAAAAATCCAGATTATCTTTCCAAAATAGAGTAGCGAATGTTGGTACTTTTCGGTTTGTCTTGTTGCCATAAGATCGATCTCTGGCTGCCTAAACATCTTTATGATTCTTGAGAAAACCTGTGCTCTGCTCAGGATGTCCGCTATCACGTTGTCTATTCCTCTGAAGTATGTTGTTGTGATGTCTTTCAGCTTTTTCTCTAACCAGGACATAATCTGTGTGCAAAAGCGTAAAAGAGATTTGACTTTTGTGCGTCCATGCTTCTTCAGGTAAGTTGGACAAAGATATAGGGTGTACCAGAGAACAATATGGAGAGTAAATTGGGAACAGGAAATAACATTATAAATAAGTATATAAAAAACAGGGGCCCTAAGACAGTGGCAACTGTAACAAAGTAAAGTCTCTAGGTGCCTGGAAAGGTAGCCTCCTTCTTCAGATTTGATAGTTACCGGGATGCTCAGGGTGCACAGGTATATATAAAAGAGAGAAATAAAACTCCAATAGTGTAATAAGTCCAAAATAAAGTGCACAATTATAGAAGACTTCCAAATTTGCTACTCACATATCATAGAGCTTTGACCAGCTCGTGTGATGCGCATGCAGTGGTTTTGATCCCCCACTTATAGGATATCAATGGAAGGTACAGTCAGCAGATGTCGTAGCAGTCGAATATATATAAAACCAAAAACAACAAAAATAAAAGGTAACAATAGTGTTCTCTGTATAAAAAGTAATAGGCCAGCAGTAATAAAAGATACAATTTTATTTCCTTTTCCCAATTTACTCTCCATATTGTCCTCTGGTGCACCCAATAACTTTGCCAATTTTACCATTATTCAAGGGTTCTTGGAGAGAATTTCCCTTTTTAGGTGTGCTGCCTTTTATTCTGTCATATAGCGCTACCCCATTGTTCTTTTTTTTATTGTTCAGTTTAGTGACTGTTGTGAGGTTGTCTGGTTGGTTTCTTACAGGTTTTCCTATTATCCAGGTTTCGAAGGTAACTAAAGCTTTCATGTAAGATGAAGAGAGAGGCATGGAGTCAACTTTTAGGATGAGTTACAGAATTCTTGTGGAAGAAGAAAGATGAGATTTTTCCCAGTTCATCAGCCATCCATGTTCCTGCAATGCTCCATGTGTAATTAAAATGTTTCCTTGAAGCTGAAGACTTAAACTGGCTTTTAAAAACCAATCGTCTAAATAAAGTACGACTGAAATACCCTTCTCTCGAAAATTGTCTGCCAGCGGAAGTAGAATGCTTGTAAACATTCTTAGAGCGGTAGAAAAGCCAAATAGAGGGGCATTGAATTGAAAATGTATAATGCTTTTTCTTGTTTTGATTGCAAATTTCAAGTATTTTCTTGAACCTATTGCCATGGAAAAATTAAGATATGCATTCTTTAAGTCTAGAGTGGCAACATAGTCCCTTCCACGTAATATATGGGTGACTGATAAGATTATGTACATCTGGAATCTTTGATACTGGATGCAATTGTTCACATTCTTCAAATTCAGGGCAGGGAAGAAGGACTTGTCTTGTTTTTGCAAATAAATAGTCTTAGTAGACCCCTAAAATTGTTCTCTTTTTGGAACCTTTTCTGTTATGCCTTTTTGGAGGAGAAAAAGCAATTTGGTAAGCAGATCATCTGCTTTCACCTGAAAGGTGTCAATAGAACAAAGGAACTGGGAAGCAGGCTTTTCTAGAAATCTTATATAGTATGCTTAACACCCAAGGATTTTGAGTAGTCAATTCGCATTGATGAATGAAGGATTGTAATCTTCCTCCCACTCTCTTTGTGGCATCATAGTTTCCTCCATCTGTTTTCTCTGTTGTGGACCTGTTTATCACAGAGTCTAGAATCACACTGTTGCCTGCAGAAGTTGCAAAAATAATTGTTATACTGGTATGACATTTTGTCTTGAGGAAGAGCTTTTTTAGTGTCAGACATATATTTATAAGTTCTTCCAGTGAAGAACCACACAGCTTGGCCATGCACAGCCTATGTACTTCACTATGCTGCCACTCAAACTGGAGGATCCCGCCCGTCCCGCAATTGTGATAAGTAAGAACTGGGGAGTCAGAATCGTAAGCGATATTTAATGTATGATAGGGAGGAGAATTGCGTAATTAATATTTCATTTTAGAGGTTACAGGCCCACCTTAAAGGGACACTTACTGCATGAAAACAACATTTTAGTGTAGATTATGCCCCTTATAAAGCAAGATAACCCCTGATTGAAAATGAGCCACAGCCAGGGTGAGTGTAGCAAGGGCATAAACAGAAACAAAAGTGATTTTACTTATAGATGGCAGAGAATGGAGCAGTAGTGTTCCTTTAACTATAATAGCACATTATGAAAGCATGGTTCATTAAGACAGAATCTTTATTGAAAATACTACTCTGTATTGCAGTGTAAATATCACTGAAATTCTAACACAATCAGGAGATATACATGACAATAGGCAGATCATAAATGTTGTTCCCTTATTGCATCTTGACATTTCCCATCAGCAAATGGGAAAATGCATTTACCTGTGGAAACAACAATAGATGCCTATGGCACCAAATTTTGCACATTTATTCATTTCCAAGAGTATAAAGACTCTTCTTCTGGTAGTTTAGGAATTTGAAGAAAATTAAATAATGGTTCTGAAGAGGGAGAGCTTCAGGTAAGAGTATCTATCTCCAAGAACAACAATGCAGTATTGCATGTCACCTAAGGAGTGTTATTTTATTTTATTGCAAAGAAATATAAAAAATGCAGGGACTTTACTAGTGAAGGTGCTGCTTAAATATACTTGGCCAATCACAATGTAAGGATTTCTAAATAAGACAATAAACAGGACTATGAATTTTTCAGTTTGCCGCTTTTCAAATCTCCATTTCTTGAAACAGATCTGAACCTGGAGAAATACTAGTGGATGGGGATTTTTGTCAGAAACAGGCAAAACATGCAGTTAGCTACAAATATTTAAAGGGATACTCTAAGCACCAAAACAACTATAGCTTACCTAGCCACATCTACCCTGACTGTGACTCACACAGGATCTAAGAAAAAAAAGGTTTATTAAAAAAGATATTACAGCAGTGTATGTAATTTACAAATTCTTACCACATGCTCTGCTGATTTAATTTTAACCACACTAGTGGGTGTTGCAGGTTTTAGTGGACAAAAACTTCTAATGTAAAACACACTATGCAATAGGGGAAGCTTAAAAGGTTGCGCTCTTTTTCAGGAAATGTGTAGGAAGGCTATGTGAGTCACAACCAGGAGAGGTGTGGCTAGAGCTGCATAAACAAAGTGATTCATCTTCTAAATGGCAGAGAATTGAGCAGTTAGACTGCAGGACACAATCTATCCACAAAAGTCACCTCTGCTAAAGTTATTTTGGTGCTTAGTGACCCTTTAATTTTGACGATAAGTAAAATCCCCTTATGACATAAACCGTAAGGCAGGAGGTTCTTGTGTTTCACTAAATCTGTACTCCCTCAGATGATGTCATGCATATATCCCAATGAGATGAATCCAGAATCCCGTAGGATAATGGGTAAGACCATAGCCAATATAAGCAGTGGTAAGTTTTGTATTTGTGCTATAATTTTAAAAGTTGTTCCACGCCACCTATGGCTATTTCTTCCAAATTTGCCACCCAATATTTAGATAAAGTACTCATATGAATGCACTGATTGTTACCCTTATTGTATTAACAAGTAATGGAACCCAGAAGGATTATGCAGATTAAGGGAGAAAAGATATGTACATATTTCTAGACACAAATGTAGTCATATTTATTGTGCCTGCATTTTGCATCTATGGAGAATCAGTTGGATCTAAAGTCAAGCACACAGGGCAGGAGCAAAGATGTTGAAAGTTCTCCCCACCTCTGGGCTGTAAACGGGTTGTTCATGTGGTCTCACTCTCAATGGCATTCCAGGAGGGTGACAACATTACTGTCTGCATGATTGTCAGCACCTTTATAAACGCTTCATTCAGGCAGTGAGAGTTTAAAATAAAATTCCACTTTAAACCATTTGGCAAAATATGTTTCAGTGTCTCTGCATTGCAAAGTTCCCTATTAAAAACACGTAGCCAATGTATGGACATGTTTTAAAGGTGAAAAAGAAGTGGAGACAAGCCGAATCTCATCGCTAAAATTAAGGTATATCACTACATGGCTTTATCTGCTTTTACTTACTCATTTTCTTGATACTCTGAAGTAATATGGTTGAAAGCAGAATGAAAAATTACTGTTGTATTTTGGTTGTAACATCGGAGTAGGAAGGATGTCTTTGTGTGTTGCTACGTTTCCTGCACTTTGTTCACACCTAGGTTCATTTTTATTCTATCACACACTACAGAAACAATGCTATGTTCTATGGATGTAATAGAACATTCCTATCACCATAGCTACTACAGCCTGTTGTAGTGATGGTACCCACTATAATCTGTCAATAATGTTAGAACAGTTTGACCCTTATCTGAATCCCGACAGACACCCACACTCATCTTCTCAAGCTGTAGAAGCTGGATGTTTAATTTATGCAAGAAAACAATTCATTTATTGGCTGAGAGCATCAGCCAGGTTATGGTGGGAGAGCGGAAGGGCACTCCAGGCACCATAACCCCTACATCAGGTGGTATTAGTTATGTGGCTTGAGGTGTTCCTTTAAAAGTTTTCCCATGCTTCATACCAGTGATGGAGTACCAAAACAGTGAATTAGCATACCCTATAAAAAAAAAAAATAAAAAAAAAAAAAAATTCACCATTTAAGAGTAGCTCAACTTGTAAAATGATTAGATTTTTTTTGAAAAATGTTTTAATATGTTGATTTTTTATATATGATATATTTTTATATTTTAATATTTTGAAAAAAAATAATTTTAGAAGTTTATCCAAAAAAACATTAAATAAATTGAAATGCTTATCCAAAATATATTAAATCAAAGCCAAATTTAGAGAGAGGAATCTCATTTTAGCAGGTCTATTTACTAAATTCAGAATTTTCACAAATTGAATCCAAATGGAAAAACAGAGGCAAAAATAGTTGATCTGAAAAAAAAATTTTTCCAGCTCAACAGTCACAATTTGACTATTTTGCCTCAGATTTGCCATTCGGATTTAATTTGTGAAAATTCTATTCAGTGAATAACCCTGTAAATATAAAATATTTTTTCCCCTTCCCTTCAAAAACTCGAAACTGAGATCAAAAATAGACTTTTTACTGTTTTGATAAAAGTAATAAAATGGTTAGACATTAAATTAATTACAGGGAATAATTAGCACAGACAACGTGCACCAATCACAATACCGGAGACACACACACAAGGGAAGGAGAAGAAAACCATGCAAATTCCTATGTCTCCCCCAAAAGGAAAACAACATCAAATATACTTCATAGAATAGATACACAAAGAATTATATACATTGGAAAGCTACATGACCAATCTCACCTTAACAGAGAGGAAATGTTTCAACACCCACAACTTCATACACTGGTAGCAATGCACCCTCACACACAACTTAAAACATACATTTACTGCCTCCCCAAAAAATCTCAATGGAGCAGATGGAGCTCTCTCACCCGTATGCAGCAGTACTGTCAAACCATAACAACCTGCAGTCGCGTGTCCTTTAGTGAAGTGAAAAACACAGGCATGTTGTATTCCCACACCTATGCATTTTTGTCTCCTCTGCTAATTTAAGTGAAGAAAATTGTCCGCCCTTCAGGACTACAAGAAAAAACTTCATGCTGCACACTATATGACAGGTGAAGATTTGAACTATGCTCTACAATATGAGGGAGGCCCACATTCTGCCCTAAAAGACTGGGGTGAGTCATGTCACTCCCATTAAGAAGCCCATTAAAGAGGCAATGCCTTCTCTCAGTCTGTATCTTTTGACGCACTGTCCTTGCTGGTGCCCTCCTCTCGTGTGGACTCCTTCTCGCTGCCCCCGGATGAATTGGATAAACGCCCAGAGTGTTTGTATGCTGCAGCCAGCTCCTGGACTCGGTCTGCAGTAGGTGCCCATTTCAGAAAGCCCGGCTCATTCTGAAGAAACAGGACTGCAGTGTTGTGCACAGCTTTGTAATACAGCTCCTCTCTGTGGAGACAGTAAACAGTTGGAGTTAAAGACAAGCCAGAATGGGTGAGGTTTTAGAGCATTACTGAATAAGTAGAAGGTGCATGAGAAAGGTGAGTGGAAAATCATTCAAGACAGCAGATGAATGGGTAAGGGGAGAAAGAGATAAAAGAGAGTGGGTCAAATTTAGAGGTAGACCGAAAAAAATAATTTTGAAGGGGACTGGTCACATACACAGCTCCATTCCTTTTACATGTGTTGGCATAATTACATGTATATCGTGTGCTTTTTAATTTCAATTGGGAAAAATGTTTTAGAGATATTTCATTTAAAATTATAGAACTTACATCTCAATGGGCTGAGTTCAATGTTATTTGTGTAAAAACATAATTAAATGAGCACTTTAAGCACCATAACCATTATATTGCACTGCAGTGGTTATAGTGCCAGAAGTCCCCTGGAGACATCCCAGATTAAGGAGTCAAAACATTTTTTTTAACACTATTTGACACTTGCCTTGGTCTCTTAGGTGCCTGCTGTTCTTCTGTGATTTTTCTAAAGTAAAGCTCTCAGTAGGCTAAGGAAATTAAAATGTTGTTATACTATGGACATGTTTCATTGGCTGAGGAGTGTCAGCAGACACACTCAAACAATAAATTATATCCAAATTGCTAAAGTTAAATGAGAACTTCCACTTTAGCGATATCACAGAAGAATGGGGGGGACTGTGGGAGTATGAGGAACCCAGATAAATTCTTTAAAAAAATGGTTTGACTCATTAAAGTGTGACAGCACCAAAGGGTTTCCTGGAGCCATTATCACTACAAAGGGTTGTAGTGATTATAGTGCAAAAAAAACGATAGGCTTGTGTTACAGGCGTTTAAACAGTGAAAAGGTATATTGTATTAGTCAGCAGTGGAGCGCTAGGTTGTCGTCGCGTCACTTCCGGGACAAGTGAATCCGGTCGGAAATAACTTATGGAAGAAAATTATATCATCAACAAAACTGACGATTGGATAATGATCTCTGGATTCGGCCAATGAGAACACTGAAGGACATTTAAAGTAAAGACAGGGCTTGGTGGTAATTATACCGATTGAGAAAGCCATTATATCGGCGAAATGCGTCTTGGGAGCTTCATTGTGAAGATTTTATGTTTTACTTATATTTGTTTTTATACAAGTGGTAATAAATAGTATTTTTAATTATTCCTGGGGACTCTATTCTACTACCTTGGATCCTCTGTGTCCCCTTTATAGACAAAAGAGTCTACAAACTAAGAGCCACATACAATAGGCTCTTGAAAAGGTGAGCAGTTCTGCAACCTCATTTATATGCACTTTTGAATATTGACATATTGCACTAGGTTTTTCCCCACTTTCTGTATTCCATATATATCCAGATACAGAGGAAGAGTCACCATAGTACATATCTGTCTAAGTGATCTGTGCCTATCCTGTGGGGCTCAGTTAAATGTTAGTGTACCAATATTGAGCAATACTCTCTGTACAGTACTGGATATACTATGTTAGTATTTTTGTCATTATAGGACATTAAAACTTACCAAAATTATAGGGTAAATGACTAAATTTCTAATACTCACTGGGGTTTCACTGGGGTGGGTGTATATACCACACAGTGAATGCTTTTTTGTTGTTGTGATTATGGTGCTTAGAGTGCCCTTTTAACTAACTAACTTTTCTAAGACTGCTAAAAGCACTTAGCCAAGCAAAACATAGGGACAACTGCATCCATCAATAATCATTCAAATGTAGAGAACTAGATAAACCGGACGTCTCTTGCCTACAAATGTAACTTTCTAATAAACATGAATCAATGAACACTACAACATTGCATTACGGAGTATAATGCACAATAAATTAAACAATTTGGGATTGTTATGCATAGTCCTATAGATATTTTTATTACCCTTTCTATGTAGTTTATTTATCAATAAAGTAACTTTTGGCTTCATAAGCAAATTGTAATATAGAGGAAAATTCTTCAAACTAGCTGTTTTGGTGTAAATTCTCTAGTTCTATTGTCAGCTTTACACAATTCTTAGTTTGAATAAACTTTGTCTAACCACTTTTTGTTTCTTCATTTGTTTTCTCCCGTTATTCTTCAGTAACAGATCCCAAGTCTGAAACGCTACAATTTACTTTCCCTATGTTACATAAGTTGTTACGTGCCTCTTGCACACATGCTGAGATCCACTGCGATACTCATGCTGAAATGCAGGGAGGAGCATCTGATGGCGCTTGAAGCGACTGCTCTCCATGCGTGTGAGTGCTGGGGTAGGAGGGTCTCTCCATTCTGGGATGAAGATGATGAAGGACAAAGGCTGATCAGAACTCTCCAGGAGGTACTACAGGAAAGCAAGCAAAGATTTTGTTAGACGACTGACAAAAGTAAAAAACACTCAGTAGTAAGGATGCAAACCAACGCACCTCGAAATGTGTGACCATGGCATCCATCAGTTCCTCACTAAATGGCGGGTTTGCTTCAAAGGAACCACTGACCGGGAAGAAACTCAGAAAAGGCCTACAGAATGTAAAACAGTAACAATGTTACATGAATTGTTGGATCTCAAAATGACATAACATTAATAGGAAATAAAGTTGTAAAAGAATACATCAGTGACATATATATATGAGAGAGAGAGAGAGAGAGAGAGAGAGAGATATGTTATCTGTTTATGGGAAACAGAAGGAAGAATTAACAGAGTTAGTTGATTGTTAAACATTTAATGGACTGTATTCTGCAATACTCAGAATTAAAATTCTAACTTGCAAGTAACATACAAAGGGCTGTGGATCTTGCAAGTAACATACAAAGGGCTGTGGATCTTGATTTTCTATATAATCTGTTTTCTACCTTTATTCCTTTAATTAAACAAATAGCAATTTTTTGAAAGTAAGGATAAATAGCTAGCACACAGAAAAAACAATGTGTACAGACTGATGTTTAGAGATAACAAAAAAACAATAAGGCTTTCCACAAAGATGCAACATAGGCATTGCTTGGTAATAATAATAATCAGCTATATTTTGGATACCATGGAGAAAATATGTCACATAGTTGCCATGGAATGCATTTCTGCTAACACATTTTACATGATGGTGTCCCCATGGATGGAGGCACAGAGGACCCCAGAAAACTTATTCCATGTTCTGTCTCTCCGCTGGAATTAAAGGCAAGGAGGGTGAGTGAAGAAATCTGGTTGCAGCACCGCTACATTATTTTCCACCTCTTTTTGCTACTGTTTATTTTTATTCCTTTAATGTCGTTTTTAAATTTTAATTTTCCCTCCCAGTATTATTTATATATGTTTGTACAAATGTTTTTCTGTAATATATATATATATATATATATATATATATATATATATATATACACACACACACACACACACACACACACACACACACACACACACACAAAAGTTTGCATACCCTGGCAGAAATTGTGAAATTGATTTTCAAAATATAACTGATCATGCAAAAAAATAAATGTCTTTTTATTGAAGGATAGTGATCATGTGAAGCCATTAATAATCACATAGTTGTTTGGCTCCTTTTAAATTTATAATGATAACAGAAATCATCCAAATGGCCCTGATCAAAAAAGTTTACATACCACTGACATACTTGAAAAGAGATAAATCTCACTGTATCCTTCCTGGTAAAATAATTTATAAATAAATAATGCTGGGCCTTGTTACAGATACACAAAGTGACACACACAGGTTGAAATGGCAATTAAAGGTTAATTTCCCTCATCTGTGACTTTTTAAATTGCAATATGTGCCTGTGTATAAATAGTCAATGAGTTTGTTAGCTCTCACATGGATGCACTGAGCAGGCTGGATATTGAGCCACGGGGAGCAGAAAAGAACTGTCAAAACACCTGCGTAAAAAGGTAATTATAAACATTTTTTACATTTGTCAATCTTTCTTTTTTTGAGGCCTTACGGCATTGTACAGAAAGGAAAAGAAAAAGGAGGAAGTCTGAATGACAATACAAATGTCCATAGTAAAATTAGGGGTAAAGAGTAGGCAAGACGTAATCCAGTTACCTCCCTCTCCAGATTGTGGAGGCCTTTTTTTTTATAGGGGTTTTGTAAGTTAAGGCACATAACATATTTAAAACTAATGTGTTAAGTGAGCTGGGCCCTAGAGGCCAACTTCGATTACAGCTGCTTGCCTTTTTATTGTGGGTTTGGCTAGGCGTTATTCACTATAGCCTGTGCTGTAGTGGGTCATTAGGTCATGCTTAAGCATTCAGGTGTTACTGGGGTTGTGTAAGCCCTGGCTAATAGTGGAGGGCCTAATATGTTTTAAACATAGAGCTGGTTACTAGACATGTGCAATTCGTTTCGTTCCGAATGTCAATTTGAACGAATTTTCGGGCAATTATGTTGCTGAAGCTGAATTGCTGAAGTACTAATATACCTACCCAGTGGAAGAATGTTACATTGTATACAAGTTTAAATAAAAATTATACAAACACAGCCAGGATTCAGCTGCAAGCATTTGCAACACTTACAACAATCAAGTAACACACATTCATATAAAATGTAGGTTACTTGGCCAGTCAATGTAATGACAGGAATGAATAAGTAGATAACTCCCTAATTCCCACGGTATTAGGGAGCTATCTACTAAAAGGCTAAAGATTACTTAGTATTAGTAAATTTGGCCGAAAGACCAATTTAGGTCTTTCAGCCTTTTGGTAGATAGCTCCCTAATACCGTGGGAATTAGGGAGTTATCTACTAAGCGGCTGCAAGAGAAGTCCCGGAATGCCGAACGAACCGAATATTTTCCCCGTGCACATCCCTACTGGTTACTGCCTGTGGTGTGGTGTGATGTTGCTCTCGATGTTGTGCTGTATGCCTATATGGGCATCTACAGGGGCATGCGCCAGGCCTTATGGTACTGGTGTGCGCATCTTATGTGAAGGGCTGGCAGGCTGTTGCTTGTGTTACCCCTAACCAAGGGGATTGCGGGGGAGGAAGAGTATGGAGGCAGGCACGTGGAGAAGCTCCATTACCCTTCGGTTGGAAGTTCCTGGACTGTGTTTCTTATCATAAAGGGATCCAATTAGGTGGGCAGGCATTGGAACTTATACAAAACAATATTAAAAACTGTGGAAACATAAGAAAAAAACTATACGTGGGGGTCGCAGCCTGTGGCTGCAGTACCCTTTTTCTTGGTCAAGTCCCCATGAGCGTTGCTGGTCCGTGTCAGGGCATGAAAGGAACTATGTTGGCTGGATCCCAGGTCAGAGCACTGTTATGGCCGCCGTGACTACCGTTCGGTATAGGTAGGCCAATTGTCCTGAACAGGGCTGGAGCTTCATCAACTGAAGAGAGGTTATGAACTGTCCCGTTATGCATCACACTGAGGGATTTACGTGATGTCCAGTGGTAGGTCACACCAGCTTTCCTGAGCTGGCATGTTACTGGGAGTAGTATGCGTCTCCACTGTAGAGTTGCTCTGTAGAGGTCCTGGTAGAATGAAAGGCTGGTGCCTTCGAATAAGAAAGGTGTCTTGTCTCTCAGCACAGCTAGCAGTGCTTGTTTATCTTGTGCCAGGGTGCAGTGGATTAAGAGGTCACTTATGGCCGAAGCGGGAGCCGCCAGATGCCTCAGGTAGTGTGGCAATTCTTCCAATGTGACAGCTTCTGGCACCTTTCTGATTTTCAGATTATTGCGCCTGGAGCGATCATCCAGTATGGTTATTTGTGTGGTGAATGCTTGTTGGGCTTTCTGCGTTTTACTGGATGGAGTCTGTCAGAGTAGACACAGCCTGTTTCATTTCAAGGACATCTTCCTCCGTGGCACAGAGCCTGCTAATTTCTGGAGAAAATATGCTAGAAGGGTCTAGGATTCTGTTTAGTTGCCAGGAGTATGAAGTCTGGGTGGTTTTGGGCTGTTGGGGCTGAGTTAAGGCTACCTCTTGTGTGGGCCTGGGGTGCAGTTACGGCTGGGTGGGCCTCCGGAGCCGCCATATTGGGTGAGGCCTGTCTCTGAAGCAGGGACTCGATATCGCTTTCCCATGTCTGGTGGCGGGTCTGGCGTTATGTCCCCAGCCTTGACTCCCCTGGTGTCCGGGGTGCGCTCCACCACTCTTCAAGTCCCAGGCCTGTTGGGGAATGCTAGGCTACAAACCGTTTCTGTCGTCGTTTGGGCCCGGAATTCTGAAAGAACGGCATGTACCCAGTCCGCATGCACTCCAGGGTGAGTTCTTGGGTCATTGCTGCCGTAGATACACTGATGCCTGTGATATCTGGTGGATTTCGGCTGTTTGTTGCGGGAGCTGTGGGAAATGGTGACTGCTCCGTTCTGCTGTAAAGCCCCGCCGCCCAAGGCAATGGAAATTTATAAAGATGTAAAAGGATTAAAAACATATCCAAAGCCATGAAAATGCCAGTACTGTTCAATCACTTATTAAGAAGTGGAAAATTCAGGGATCTCTTGATATCCAAGCCAAGGTCAGGTAGACCAAGAAAGATTTCAGCCACAATTGCCAGAAGAATTCTTCTGGATGCAAAGAAAAAACCCTCAGGTAACCTCAGGAGAAATACAGGCTGCTGGAAAAAGACGGTGTGGTTGTTTTAAGGAGCACAATACGACGATACTTGAACAAAAATGAGCTGCATGGTCAAGTTGCCAGAAAGAAGCCTTTACTGCGCCAATGCCACAAAAAAGCCCAGTTTCAATGCCCGACACCACCTTCACACACCTCACAGCTTCTGGCACACTGTAATTTGGAATTACGAGACCAAAACCATACCCATAAGTGCTATGTTTGGAGAGGCGTCAACAAGGCCTATAATGAAAAGAATATCATCCCCACTTTGAAACATAGTGGTGGCTAACTGATGTTTTGGGTGTGTGTTAGCTCTAAAGGCACGGGGAATCTTGTGAAAATTGATGGCAAGATGAATGCAGCATCTGATCAGAAAATACTTCATTCTTCTGCACGATTGCTGCGCATGGAATGCTCTTGTACTTTCCAGCATGAGCATGACCCTAAGCACAAGGCCAAGTTGACTCTCCAGTGGTTACAGAAGAAAAAGGTGAAGGTTTTGGAGTGGCCATCACAGTCTCCTGACCTTAATATCATTGTGCAACTCTGGGGAGATCTCAAACATGGCGTTACAGACTACTATTGCAGAATGCAATGAAGCCCTGTAGTGTACTCCGACCTCACTCCTGCCTTCTAAAACACCAGATGAAGTTTTATAATCCCCTTTCAGATAGACAGACAAAATAAAGCTCTAGTAGAAAATGTTTTTTGTTTAGTCTGAAAACTAGCCCTGGATCAAAACTGAAGATGAGTGTTTTGGGCTGCATAAGATTAGTAAGCATGTTTACACAGATTGCTGGGAAGAAATGGGATTATGTTATATAAAAGAGCAGAGCTATACAAATAAAGGCAGTATTAAGTATAGAATACATTCTCACACAAACACTATAAATAAAATAAAGATGTAAGGACATAGATTCACACTTATTTCATATTCAAAGCTCACCCTCTGGATCCAAAATATCCATCTGTGTCTGGGAAGGCGGAGCAGTACTGCTTGAAATAACAGTTGAGAGGGGATGCAAAGCATTCAGAAGTCACCCCAAAATGTTTGTGCAGAGCCTGGAAAACGTGGACAGGGAGTGCTCCTTGCAGACCAGAACCCTCATACTGTGCTGTGCCAAACATAACCTGTGAGTACAGACCAAATAGGTGAGTGACATCCACAACAGGTAACCAAACACCACCAATGTAACCCTTTATTTACATCTCAGCTCAGAGTTTGTACCTGATATCTACGCAGGAGACACCACATTCTGCAAATGAATTTGTCTGATGCAGGATCATCTGTACAGCTGAGGCGATAGAGCTGAAACTACACAGAGATATTACAGAGCAATGTCCATTTTTCATAAACAGTGCATGATCAAAACCGTAAAAGCCTAACAAAGTAGTCTTAATTGCACTTGACTGTACTGTAAATTGCCCAAGATTGGAAATATTTTGGCATGGGTATACACATGTGATAATATTTTACAGTTTAGAGTTGCAGATATGGTTTTTAAAAGTCAGGGTTTTTGTTCTTACCAGCTTGCTAAAGTAGCCCTGGTTCATTCTAACAGATTCTTCTCGGAATCGCACACACACTGTGCTGCCTTCCACCCGCAAATCCACTCCTCCCTGGGGTTGCAATGCCGGCACTGACAACCGGACAGGGTGACAGAACACCCTCTTTTCCGAAGGCTCTTCAGCAGGGCCTGATTCTGCAACAGGACAACATGTGTTACAATAATACAGAATACAAGATTGCAATCAACTTAACAATTACACAACACAGGAATGACTTCTTGTTACATATCACCCATTACAAATACAGTCTCTCAATACCTTTAGAAATTCCAAATAACAAGGTCACTACTACACATGGGATGTCAACATAAAATGCTTTTCTATCACTTTAATGCAAACAGTGTGGCCGTCAGCACGTTCAGCATTTTGCACAATCTTGTGTGATACTGATTGGGTAAAGATTTTAGAGAATGTCATAAAAATGCTATATTAAGAAATATTGTTAATAAAAAATAAATGAAAATCAAACGTGTCGAAGAAAAGTCCATACAAACTGTTGCAAAGCATGAGGATGTCCAGCATCATTTCATGGAGGCAAAATCCACGAAACTGCAGAAAGTGCCTCTAGTGGCTGTCTGGTAGACAGTCTCTAGTGGCAGTCTTAACACATTGTAGTTTCTCTAAAACTGCAATGTTTTACATTGCAGGGTTAAGGGAACAGGGACACTGCTCCCAGACCACTTCAATGTAGCATAATAGCAACAATCACACATTGACATCATCAAGAAGGATAATATTTCTCATCATCAAGAAGGATAATATTTCTCTTTAAAAATAGCTTTAAAGCGGTTTAAAAATGAGCATCGTTGCCATGGCATCACAGACTACCTTCACAAGAGATGTCTAAAGTTAAGGTTTAACTCAACCCATTTTTTTTTTTCAAATGGCAATAAAAACACCTACACTGTTGTGAAACAGACCGTGTTTATTGCCTGGCACACAATGGTGGTTCAGATAAAATTAGTCCACTGCCCCCACAATCCGTAGAAGATTGGGGGCTTCATCTGAAAGTAAAATGTGATTTATAGATATTAGGATACCATCGATCTGAGAGGTATTTCTTTGAATGGCCACAAGATGGCTCTAAATCCTAATAGATAGTAAACATAATAGTTAAAGGGACACTATAGTCACCAGAACAACTACAGCTTTTCAGAGAAAATGCAGTGTTTACATTACAGCCTAGTGATAACTTTACTGGCCACTCCTCAGATGGCGGTTAGAGATCCTTCCTGGGTCATGGCTGCCTAAAATGCATCCAAACATTCAGCATCTCCTCTGAGGGGCCCCTCTGATGAGCTTCACTGGCGAAACGTGCACGTCAGGGGCTCTGGACACTTACTGACACATTATTGGTGTCGGCACCTAACTCTCTGCTTATCTTTTGCTAAATTACCGACATCAAGTTCATTCATGTCCAGCATCTCAGGAGTGCATATTGGAGACTCTTAAACACTAATTTTGTGTACTCTGTACATACTTTATTTTTCTTTCTTTTTCCTTTATTATGTTTATGGGGGGAGATTGATAAGACCAGGCATTTTACTAAGGGGTGCCCTCGAAGGCACAAGACTCAGGAATCTTTATTCTATATGCCTTTATTCTATATGCCTTCCTCTGTCACTTTATATATTTTCTACTACCTAGGCAACCTGTTTTAAAAAAACTGTTTGTAAACCCTCTTTTTATACTTTGACCTATTATTTAGATGCAGCTAGCACTTAGGCAACTTGCGTGACTTTCAACCGGTATATTTTCTACTACCTAGGCAACCTGTTTAAAAACTGTTTGTAACTTTTTCTTTATACTTTGACCTATTATTTAGATGCAGCTAGCATTTAGGCAACTTGTGTGATTTTTAACCGGTTAACTGGGCCTGTCAGCAGTCCTTCACAGGTGAGCTACTACTTGGTGCTCCACTGTGGTCAAGCATAAGTTAACATCATTCAGTGCAGGCAGCTGTTGTTACACTAGAATATACTGCTAGGTATCTTGCAGAAAAAAACGGAGCCAGGTCAGCAACCCCTTAATTTTATACTTTACTGCTTGACAGCAACCTTTAATTTATTATCAAAGTTCTGCTGTGATCTAGGCAGCTTTTGTGATATTTAACTGGCTAATCGCCGTCTGTCAGAAATCTGTCTTAGCTGAACCATTATCTTTGATCTTTCCGAGGTTAAGCACCATAGAACATTATCAATTATTGTATGTGGAGTTAACCCATGTTGTTAGTTGTACTATCATGTAGGGATTTACTTATCCATATCTTTTAACTATTGACAGCACTGGTTTAGCAGTTGTCTTATCTCCCCTCCTCTTGTTACAGCTATTAGTGATATATAATATAGTATCACTTCTATTACTTGGGAATACACTGTTATATTGTAGCTAAACAGTATTGCTTCAGCATTAGTGTTATTATGTGTACACTTTTACAGCTTGTATAAGTAGTCAGAGTTTTACTCGCTGTATAGTCTCCATTTACTCCTGCTGTTCATATTGTTATTTTTTTTCTTTTATATATTTTTATTTTAGATTTATTTATTAAAAGTTACTTTTTAACCTACAATCTTCTCAGTAAATCATACACAGGTAGAATGGCATTTTTTTCTTGTTTTGTTTATTCTCTATGATATTCACCATTTAGGGGTTACCCCCCTTTTTTTTGTGCCCTCTACCTTGTGATATCTAAATTTTGGCCCTAGGTTAATTCTTTTTGTTTTCCTCGTATAATAATGTGCAACAAACCACTATACACACAGTCTGGTTCACAGTTTAGTTAATCAGGCTGTGTTTTGCAGAGGCATGGGTCTCCTTTCAACCAACAGACAGCCTAGTAGATGCCTATTTACATTACACTTGTGTGCACTTGTTCACAATTACAGTACCTTAAACACACTATTACCACGTGTGTACATATTATTATAATTGCCATTTATATAGCGCCAACAGATTCCGTAGCGCTGAGCGGAAAGACCAAAAAGGGTCATACCTATGGATCTGTGAAGAGATATAAGAGTAGCTAGAATTGTCCAGTGCTTTATAGGTATTGGTTAGCACTTTGAATTGACTCCTATAGGATACAGGAAGCCAATATAAGGACTGACAGAGGGATGAGGTGTGAGAGGACCGGCTAGAGAGGAAAATCAGTCTGGCGGCAGCATTCATTACAGACTTTAGCGGGGCAATACAGCTTTTGGAAAGACTAATTAGGAGAGGGTTACAATAATCCATGCGTGAAATTACTAGAGCATGGACAAGCTTCTTGGTAGCATCTTGCGTAAGGAAGGGGTGGATGCAGGCTATGTTTTTAAGATGGAGTTTACAGGATTTAGCAACATACTGGATGTGAGGCTCAAAGGTGAGGCCAGAATCAAATACAACGCCAAGACAGCGCGCTTGCATGGATGGCAAAGAATTGAGTTAAAGGTGTCAAAGAGATACCTTGGATTGCGGGAGCATGAACTAACGAGAGAGGAAAAAAAAAAATATATATATATATATATATATATATATATATATATATATATATATATATATATGTGTGTATTACCTGGTATGTTGGCCTCACTAAGAAGTTCCAAGTGCTTTTCGCGGATTCGCTTCACGTATTCCCTAGAAATGTGGTAAATCTTGCTACATATACCTTCCACGGAGTCCCTTGCCACAGCTGCCATATGGGGACCACACTGCCTACGCAGGTGCTCCAGTCGGTCCTAGAATATATAAATACACAAAAGTGGAAGTGGTCATTTCATTAAGTGATGTAATTTTGAAGTCACACTTACAGGTAGAGTAAGTTTGCACTAGTTTTAATGATTTTGTATATAGACAAGGGAAATGTCATCTGGGTAACACAGATGTTAGGTGACTGTGGAAATTCAAGCAAAATGGCATTTTAGAAAACTGAAGAATTATCAGTTTAGAGCAAACATGATGAGAGAGGTTCCACAAACCATGTAGTCTTCCTTGGTTGCAAGATGATCTCTCCTCAACCAGCTAAATGTGTCCTCCACATTCCATTTCACCAACTTTCTACTGTCTGAAGAAGCACTCCTAGAATGAAATAAATACATGGTGAGGTCAGAGCATATGTCAACAAATAAAGTTAACGCTACACTCCAAGCAGCATAACTACTACAGCTTACTGTAAGTAGTCAAACCGTTTGCTAAAGGTTTGACAACTTACCTAGGGTCTGCAGGCACTGCTCCCTTCCTGCATTTAGAGCCATAAGCTCTTTAGATAAACTATGCTTTGCATGGCAAGCTAACTGGCTGAGATCACTCTCAGGGGTTGGCTCTCTTGGGGGACGTAACGGGAGCTCAGTGGACCCTAGATGAGTTGTTGGTTTGGTTATTTACATTGGAGGAAGGGTGGACAAGGGAACTACTGTCACCATAGGCACTACAGCACATTGAATTGGTTATAGTGATTGAAGTGTTCCTTTAATACTGGATAGGTAGAGGATCAGAATTTAAAGGTGAAGATGTGAGGTAACAGACAGGCAATAAGTGGAAATATGATTTTGTATGTTTAGAGGCATTGTGAAAAAAGCACAAATGGAAAAGAAAGATAATGAATATAGAGTGAAAGTATCACCTGGACTCAATCAATCGCTTGGCAGCCTCTGCATACTTAAAGAGCAGACGTTTTGCTTCTTCACGATGCTTAATACGAGATAATCTGAAAAAAGAAAATGATGTGTTGGATTTTCCAAAAAGCCACGGCATACATTCTCTCTTTAGAAATAATGATCCACAAAGCAAAAAAATAAATATTCAATATAAACAATACTTCTCCTTCCAGTATGGTATTAGAAACATAGGCCTTGAATTAATGAGCTTTCAAATGAATCAATTTTGACAACAAACTTTCCAAATCATTTATCTACAAAAATGCACTTGGATTTTAATGTTGTTCTGTAGATCATTTGACCAGTTTTTCTTACAGTATTGAATCATCTGGAAAGCTTATTATATTGAGGCACAATCAATAATTGTATCAAAAGGTAATTGTCAATTTATCTACGTAAACCACTTGAGATAAGAGCACTATAAAAGAATTGTAAAATAAATAGACTTTAATAAGTCCCAATTTAAGACTCATGTAAGCAGATTACACATTAATCACATCATCATCACCTCATAGGGATGTCATTCATTATTTCTCGGAACATGGATGGAGACACCGCAGGATCACATTCACTAGGCAGAATTGGGTCTGGGCCACGATCCATAACCTTCCTCTCTAGTAGCCAACGATTAAAAGACTCCCGAGGTGGCTCAATACCTGTATGGAACCAGAAAGAGGGAAAATATTTTTTCTAAGAATGAAGTGTCTAATAACTGCTCAAAGATAAGTCTGAAAAATTCAGTTATTTCACCTAAATTTTGAGAAATAAGCTATAATTTGTAGACAATCACAGGAAAAGGAAGCTCTTCTTAATGACACATTTCATGTGCCATATTTGGACTGGTTATTTTATATTGTTGCCATGTTGTAAATGCTGCTATATGAGGTGCAGTAAAGAAAGACTAGCACCAGTCATGTGAAAAACGTATACATATGTTTATCATTTTACAGTATTCATCAGCAGGATAATTCTGAACTATGATTCACTTTAAAAAGAAAGGGTATTTTACACAAGTTTTGTCAAAGCTCTCCCCATGACCACTACGAGTGGTAGAAATCTTTAAGGAATATTATATTAAACCAAATGAACTTTATATTGTCTGCTCTGTCAATGCATTAAGAATAATGGGTCTTCCTTTTTATATTTAAAAAAAAAAATTACAATTATTTAACTTCCCTTTACGCCAGTGCCGAGACAGTCTACTCACTGCTGCAGACATAGAGTGCATGCGCAGCTATGTCCGCAATCCGTCAATACAATGCTTCTCTATAAGAATTATTGCACATCCACCGACTGGCATCATACTTTACATACGGTCACCAGACGTAAAATAGATAAACTTACGGAATCTATTTTAGTCGGAAGCTTGTAGTGGCAGTCTATTTGACAACCACTAGAGGCATAGAGACTGCATAACAAAAACAGAGCAGTTTCCCAGAAACAGCACTGCTTTCAAATACAAGTCCACAGGGTCAGAATCTATGCACCAAAATCACTACATTAGGATGAAGTGATTTTGGAGCTTAGACTGTCACACTGCTCATATTGCAGTCTTACATGACTGCTATGAACAAAATAGGCATCTCATATCAACAAAATTCCAAAGTTTGCATGTGCAAAAATGTGTTTTAAGCAAATTAATTGATTACGATTAGGGTTCTGACTCATGAAGCCCTATAAGATATACAGGTTCCATGCGTTCATGCATGGAATCATATCAGACAGATAATTCTGATGTACTGTACAAAGGTCAACTCAATTTCTAATAGAAATAAAATAAAATTCAATTCTGATTCATATTTCTATTAAATGGTTCTTACTTGAGACGCTGTGTGTGCACACAAGCACAATTACATTCTGTATCTTTAGAAAAAGTGATGCATACCCTCCCTCTGCTGGCACAGCTCTCGGTAGTGCTGCCGTAGTTTTAGAACAAGCTGTGACCGGAGAAGCTCCACTTCAGGATGTGGTGGCAAAGACTGTGATGGGGGAGGTAGAGTATGTGATGTAGGTTGTCGTTTTACCACTACATTGCTCTGAATATCCAAGTCCCAGTAAACACTGTTGGTGGAGAGGGAGTCAAAATTGTTACTGAAATCAGGCATACACATTATAGTATCCACTGCTCAAATTTCCCCATTTTCCCTCAGTATAACACTTATGAAATCTTACTACAAGAAATAAACAGCAGAATCACATGCACCTCTTTCTCAACAAACGGTCACAAAACGTAACATTGCATTCTATAGATAGTAATCAATAGTTGGTGAAAGGGAATAGGACAGATTGTGTTTCTGATATTGGAAATTAACCTTTATGGGATTATTTGATTTTAGCATTAGCAAAAAAAAATAAAAATCAACAAAAAATAACAAGTTGGGAAACGCTGCTACATAAGATGGTTAAAGTATCAGACCTGTTTCTTTGAAACCAGATCTGATTTTCTAGGTCTTTCTGGACTGTTTTGGACATTGCAATTACATGAGAACCGTAGTTCAGACTTTCACAAAACCCGTGCTACCATTTATTCTAAATAAAGTTTCCATTTTTGTAATGCCTTAACAATGAACAGCACGACAGAACTACTTTGTGCCATGAAAATTCTAAACAATAAACTCACATTACTCGTCCTAACTACACATCACATTTCACTTGGTATTGCTAGCCTATGAACAGACTCTCCCTGCCCCAGCATCACGTTCACAGTCCACATATAATATCACTCACTCAGTGGGCTTCAGCAGGGCTGTTAACTGCTTTTCCTCCAGAGTTACACCAGGGATGATGGTGGAACTGGGTACTGCTGGTGCTGGTGTTGGCGCTGGTGTTGGCGCTGGTGCTGGTGCTGCTGTGGTCACAGGAGTTGACTCCATCTAGTAAGACAGTAGGTAGATATTAATTCGCTGAGCATAAAAATAAGGGCTGCATAAAACAAAAAGCAGTTGTTTCAAACATTGAACTATCAGCAAACATGTTATTGAGAGCCCACTCACCTTTAACTTCTTAACTGTGTCGCATGTCGACAACTCCTCAGACAGCTTCCTTTTTTGCGGTCTGCTCTCCTTGGGAGTTTCCGGTGTTGCCACTTCTGGAGTAACTGGAGCTGCATTGAGACCCAGAGGATCCGACTGCCAAGAGAAAAAAATAATTATACATCAAATCTGCCTTCCATACATCACTTACCATTCCTATGTTCGCTATTATGCCATTCTGCCCACTACAAAGAATTTTGTATACCACTTCGCAGGCAATTCTCACTACGTATACCTATAATCTAAATATAATATACATTTGCTATGCTAAACATTTCACTGATTACAAACCTGTTATCTAAATCAAACATTGTGCTTTTGTTTGCAGTGATACAAATCTTTGAGGTTGAACAGTAATCTTGTTTAAAAAGTGATTCAGACTGGGATGTCACAATTTGAATTAAAAAGATGAAGGATTAAAGTTTATAAAAAAAGTAATTCTAAGGTTCAAGTTTGGAACAACGTTTGTGTTTACTTGTAATATGATAACTATTGCAGTACAGTAGGTATTGGTGTACGGTGCATTATCAAGAAAACTGTTTAATGTTGGTAATATCCTCTCTATTACAGAGATAGCCACTAAAGTAAGAATTCAAAGTGGATTTCAAATTTTAGGCCTAGTGAAACAGGAAGCATTCCTGACTTGAGAAATGTTTGCAATTCAACTATTCTTTCATTGAAATTCACTTTGAATACACTCTGAAGTCTCCCTTTAGTACATAACCCTCTTTGTGTTTCACTGGACGTATACAAAAGGTCAATTAGATATATACTGTGATATTGTATTCATTTGCTAGTAGGTGTGTTACACTGAGATTAGAATTAGTAGCTATGTTTCAAAGCACCATTTATACAGAACAATATTATCAAGTTTACTCAAATGGGGTTTGCTTGCTTTTGTATGATAAAAAGAAAACAATACATGTAGACATTGCTGTCTTTTGCACATAGCAAATACTGTCATGGTCTCTTTTTATAAATGTTTATTATTGAGACACAGAGGGCGTCATAAAAAAAAAAAAAAATAGTAAAGGCACTAATATTTATAGAACCAGCAATCAGCTAAGGAAAATGTACTATTTTAAATTCTATGTTGGACCCATCCTTCAAAGCACATGTAAAAATATACAATGACAATATGATGACTATATTTTATAACAACACCTATGACATCTTTATCTTGTACCATGAGTACCATGAGTATCATAAATATGAGAAAATGTTGCACTGATGGTAGCAGTTAACAATGCTTGTGAAAGGCAATTATCCAAATGTGTTTTAATTGAGATTTGGAACATGCAAGGTTATTTTATTTACTTTTTTATTAGCAAGGAGCTATGGTTTAAATTTTTGCTGTATAATCCGATTTATATTTACTCCTTTACTCCTTGTAGCTATTTAAGCATCTAGGTCAGCGATGACTTACTGTGAAATCTTAGGTGTTTTTTTATTTACACTGCCAAAAGCCTAAAGGTTTCTTGAGTATTAAGAGACATGTAGATCAAAAGCATTTGCCTCTCAGCTGATCTGCAAGCACTGTCATCCCCTCAACCCCCAGAAATTATATCTATCTATGGAGGATTCAGCTGGTTCTCCAGAGACCTCAATGCTGTACTCTTGCGCATGAGCAAGAGTATAGCAGTGACATCAACTCCAAAGAGGACCAACCAGAAAATTATGGCGGTGACCATAAGCTGCAGATTCAGGTAAGTTAAACTCACTTTTGCCTGCCCCTCAATAGGATCCCCAGCGGCAATGTCACCATCGGAGGTCTTTGCATATTAAGAAGAGTCCCCAAATAGTGACAGTTACACTTTATATTATAATTTCTCATTTCCTGCTCTGTTAGATTTCTGCTATTGCCTAGAGCAGGGGTAGGCACTCGAGGTGCCTTTGCACGGCTCTCAAGGCTGCTAGAGCCAAACCGTCTCTGGCCTATCAGGAGTCCCAGTAAAACTTTAGATATCTACTAATGTGAAAAGGTGGTGAAGGACAATCCTCAATTTATGCATCGCAGCACGTAGAGGAAGTGATCTCAGATCACTTCCTCCCAGCACTTGTGAATGGGAATCCACACAGTAGTAGAGCAGCACGCAGTTGCAGATCCTGTCTTTGACATGTACCTGGTCGGCCTGGTCCCCACTGGAACCCAGGGAAGTCACCCACACTGCTAGATATACACAGAAATGCAGAATAAACCTTCCCACCATACAAATAATACGGACAGCCCACACACAAACGTACACACAATCCGAACAAACGCAACACCACTAACAATCCACATACATGCACACAACCCCACATGCAGCCTCTCACATGCAATACCCCAAACAGCCCCCACACACTACCAAACACACAATGTGACATATCTACCCACACACACAATTCCACAAGCAGCCCCCATACACAGCTTACATTCATATGTATCATACACAATACCATAAACTACTCATGAACATATACAATATAATAGCTCATATACGCAGGGCCGTCTTTAAAGCGGGGCAAACGAGGCAGCTGCACCGTGAGCCCTGCTGGCCTCGACTATTTCTCACCCCCCGGCCGGTAATCCGCACACTAAGGAGACCCACCGGCTGGCCCATGCACGAAGGGCCACCCGGTGGGCTTCTGGTCGCGCGCTGAGGCACTTTAACAGCGCGAGTGGGCCCCTTGCACAAAGAGAGGAGCGTGCGGGAAAGAAGAGTAGGCAGAGTGGAGGGGGTCTGGCTGAGAGAGCCAGACCCCAACTCCCAACACCTTCAGCCACCAGCAGGAAAGGTAGGAAACTGGAGGGTGGGTTTTAAAGTGTAAATTTTGTGTGTTAGTATGCTTGTGTGTGTCATATCTGTGTGTGTCAGTATATCTATCTGTGTGTGTGTCAGTATGTCTGTGTGTCTGTCTGTCTGTGTCTGTCAGTGTGTGTGTCAGTATATCTGTGTGTCAGCATGTCTGTGAGTGTCAGCATGTCTGTGGGTGTGTGTGTGTTAGTATGTCTGTGTGTGTCAGCGTTGGGGTGGAGGACGTGATTGCACGCCTGTGGAGGGGGGACAGGGTCCAGGTGGCCCCAACCAAATGCTTTGCCCAGGGTCCAGTCAATATTAAAGACGGCCCTGCATATACTCCCATATACAACGATACAAAGCAATTACAGTAAAAATAACACAAGCAGAATACGGCAGCATACACACCTCAATTTAAAAAAAATAGGACCGCACGCTACGGGACATCACAATCCTATATCGGCACAGTGCTGCTAAAAGGTTGCCTACCCTTGGCCTAGAGTATTGCACAAGAAGAGCCAAAATCTACACATTGCCTTACTAAATTAAATAAACCGTCCTGAGACTCGAAAATACACACAGAATATCATAAATAACAGATGAAAGCAATATCATACATCTTTTACAGGATTTCTCAGTAAAGTCAGAATTGCGGAGAATCCTATCAAATGTAGAATTCTTGGCCAAAATTAAGATATTCTCGAAGTCCATTATGTTTTCAATTTGGCTTTTCTTACCTATAATTTTGATTTCACTTTGAATTCCCAGCAAATCACACTTTCAAGGATAAACATGTAAGACCCTCAGTGTTTCAATCTTGCTGTCCTTATAACAATTTTCCCCAGCTCAAGAATTTTTGTGCTATTTAATATATCTTTCAACTTCCTGGGTGCAAACGAACAGAGCAAGTTTCCTCCTTGTTGTTATGCTTGAGAATCCAATCAGTTCTGAACACAGGCCAAAAGATGTCTCTGCATTTTAAAAGCCATTCACATTTGCATGTTTGTAGTTATCGGATGTTTCTAAATAGATATGTGTGAATGCTTGTCTATCATTTTAGAAACCAAGCCTAAAATTAGGCACACTGTATGTGAAAGACATCGGCAAGGAAGGCTCTTAACTTCTCACTCATATGCTCTTGCAAGTTAACAGTGGTAACTCTATAGAAGAATTCAGCACCTCTAGAACATTGCTGCTCTAGGCAAATGAACATGACTAATGTTTCCCCCTAACGAGTGGAGCATGACCTGGTTCTAAAAGGTCTACATGTATGTCCTTTATTTGAATTATTCTGAATGTGGTCAAATAAGGCAACAACTACATTTTATCACATTTGTCATGTTCAAAATAACAAATGCCAATATATTTTAGCAATACTGCACTCTGGGATATGCTGCTGGCTATCTGGCACAAAGACAACCTTGGCTTATAAATATTTCTGCCAAGATCAATGTGGCAGAATACAGGGATTTCGAGTCATGTGTACGTTTTTTTTTTGTTTTTAAATAGTGAACTATAAAAAGTCTACATTCTACAAAGCGATGACATAGAAGCTAGAACCTTCCTTAGTCAGGAGTCTCATCTATGGAGCAACAGCAAAGGACTTGCTGAACTTCTATTAAAACACTTTCCGAAAGAATGTTCTGAAGGCATCTGGAGACCATATCTTCAATCCTGGTTAAAATGTGAAATACGACTTTTGCTTGTAATATAGTAGCAGTTTCTGATAAGTTCCTCAACCTGACCAGTTAAGTGGTGCACCAGTCTCACCCTTACCGATTAAATGTTTTAAGTACTGTGGAATACCAATTATATTCTTTTATTTTACAAAGACCATTTAATTATAGTGCACTTATCTGTTATGCATGTCAGTTTTATGACAGAAGAGAAAACCATATGTTCTTTGTATAGGTTATGTTGCAAGAATGCACCTTGTCCTTGTCTCTCTGCACTAAGTTGCTTATAATTACAGTTGTTTTTCAAAAATCACTGGAACTTAAAGGGACACTATAGTTAGGAGTTAAATCACTTTTGTTTCTGTAGCCCTAGCCCCACCTTACATAGCTGTGACTGACACACCCTGCATGAAAAAAATGGTTTCACTTTCACTCAGATGTAACTTACTTTAAAGGTTTGTATCTCCTGGTCTGTATATTTATCTTTAATTACATACAGGAGGCTCCCGCATGGTCTAGCAGGTTATTAACAACGCATGAGATAAAACTGTGTAAATTAAGCAGAATGTTCAATAAAGGAAGTGTAAACATGTATGTAACTCTTTACATGAAGTTTGTATAAGTCACATGCAGGGAGGTGTGAAGAGCTGCAAAGTTATTTTACTCCTAAATGGCAGAGAACAGAGTAGTGAGACTGAAGTGGCATGAGCTCTACACCAAAACTGCGTAATTGAACTAAAGTTGTTTTGGTGACTATAGTGTCCCTTTGAACTCTGCCCCTTCGGTGCTTGTCTGCAGAGGATAAAGCTATACTTCTTTATCTTCCTAGCAAATATCTGTACACCATGTACACAAAGGGCAGGTGCATGATGTCCAAATCACTACTTTACCTTATTGACTCTGGGAAAGAGTATGGGCAGCAAAATTCTTGGAAGTATAAATGGAAGATCAAAGTGTACAGTTCTACCATAGTTGCAGCTGTAAGGAACAGAATGCAGGGAGTTCCTTTCACCATAACCTACACAAGGAAATTATGTGATTATTGTGATTGAGCTGTCCCTATAGTTAAAGTTATTCTTTTTTGGTTTGCCTTAATGCAATTATCCAATTTAAAGTGAGTGCACATAGGTATTTATTTACTGTTCCACTGGTTGACAAGCAAAAGGCAATGTTTAGGCCATAATAGCCAAGCTTAACCCCTTAAGGACACATGACATGTTTGAAATGTCATGATTCCCTTTTATTCCAGAAGTTTGGTCCTTAAGGGATCCTATAGTGCCAGGAAAACAAAGCCGTTTTCTTTGTACTATATGTTTTTAACGTCTCCCCCTCATTCGTGCCCCCCCTCCTGTGGGGCTGAAGGGGTTAAAACCCTTTCAGCCACTTATCTGAATCCAACACCTATGTCCCTCGGAACTGGGTCAGGCTCCGCCCAGCCGGCGGGGGAGACCTAATGCGCATGCGCAGCAATGGCCGCGCACATTAGACCTCCCCATAGGAAAGTATTATTAAATGCTTTCCTATGGGGAAAATCTGACGCTGTAGGTCCGTGAGGACGTCCAGCATCAGATAACGGACCAAAAGCCCGTTTGGATTCTGGAATCCCTCTAGTTAGACAGCCACAGAGGACAGACTTAAAGCTGCAATGTAAACATTGCAGTTCTCTGGAACTGCAATGTTTAACATTGTAGCACTAAGGGCAAAAGGGTCACAGCACCCAGACTACTTCAAAGAGCTGAAGTGGTCTGGGTGCCTACAGTGTCCGTTTATTTGAGTGGTGCGCATATTGGCCTGCTTTTGCACTTTCCACTGCATTTGATGTTATTTATTATACATAAAAATAAAAAATGGTTGCAGGAAGAGTAGAAACTGCAAAGAATGCAGTTAATCAGATTTAGCACATGAGAGACATTAACTGTTCTACACTTGGGGGAGGGGGGGTATTCACTTGTTGTTTATGGGACTTTTTGCTTTGGGGGGGTGCTTCTGATTAGGACAGTCTGCTCATAAAAAAAAAAAGATTATAGTGTAGGTTTTAAATAAACACTGGATAAGCATGTTAAGCATTCTGGGCTAACAGTTCTTTAGTTCAATAAGTCTTTTTTAACCAAAATAACCAAATGATTGGTGTAAGAAGTACTCACAATGACATCATGCTGACCAAGCACAGGCATTTCCCAAAGGGACTGGTTTGTAAAGCGGTTGAAATAGTAAGGACGGCTTTCCCTTTTACTCCAACACTTCTCCCATCCAGCCTGTACGAGCTCATCTGATTTTAAAGAAAAATAAATAAGCACCTAAATCAGACCACACAGCACATCCTACACTGCGAGGCGAACTAAACTTTTACCTGGCAGATCAGAAGGTGGACGGGGAGGTCGAGGTGAATGTGATGTGCTTGGAGACAAGCTGACCATGGCTACCTCCTCCTGAGGACTTCCATGATTATCACGGGCCATCTCTGTGAGAACACTCTGGGGATAAAAAAGAAAAACGATCTGTATTTTGTACAATCAGTCGGTAATCCCTGAATGTATTTAACATACTGGTCAAATAGAAATTCAGTACATGTAACTCACACAATTACATTCTACTTAAACGTGATTGTATGTATAAAAAAGTGTGTGTGTGTGTGTGTGTGTGTATAACAATAGCAAACTTGGCACTCTATTAACATAAAACAACCTAATGCAGCCTAGGCACAACCGACAAAAAATATATAAAGTAAAAATTAAGAGGGTGCACTTAGAGGTCTTTTTAAGGTACTCGTGGTTTAACGTTCAAACAGTCAAAATTACATAAATGTGGACGATTGATGTTTCGACCACGCAAATCTTTTTCAAGATATATATATATATATATATATATACACACACACACACCACCCCATCCAGGACATACTTGAAAACGAGAGTAGTCTCAGTGTACACTTCCTGGTAAAATATTTTTATAAATAAACAAACTGAATTTCAATATGACACACTTAGAGAACTACGTTAAAATATAAATCAATGTATGGACATGACCCATGACCCCCCCCCTCCCCCTTTGAAAGGATTACCATAAAATGTCTTATGTTTTCTAGTTAATACCCATTTGTAAAAAATTGTGTATTATTTAGTAAGGGTAGGAGCGGTATATAAGAACTCCTAAATATTTCAGCTGATTACCTTTAAGAAAAAAAAAAAAAGGGGGTGCTTTCACGACAATTTTAAGAACATAAAGTTCTGAGACGTATTAATCTATTATCTCACACAAGCATCTGTTGTGAGATTCAAGGGGGGGGTGTGTTTGCCCTCAGCTTTCGGACGAACCACTGCTGGGGAAACGTTACACACAATATATATTCCTGTTCGCTCTAGCATAGGAGGAATGACAAATCTGCAAGTTTCGTGCAGGGTGGGGGGGGGTATGTTTGGGGGGGAGGGAGGAGAATTAGCAGTTTTCCTCAACTGACACCCCTATAATTTCCTCAACGTCTGCAATTGTATCGCATCACAGAGGCTTATTATACACCGTAAACACCATCATATCATTACAAGTCATTTTTATATTATATAACGATCGATCCTTCCTTGTCACTGTACGGCTGCACTACTGAATAATAATAATAATAAAAAAACTAAATTTGCAAATCCATCACTATATTGCTGTGCACATATTTATTTACGAGCCTCCATGCACGTAGTACTTCTATAGGAACGTGTTGAGATGTTATAACAACGCATATTTCTATATAATAAGAGGAGAGGGGAGGGAAGGGAGGGGGGCACTATATTGGCATCTTATTACCATACAGATATACAAAGGTGCAATATAACGGAGGGTGTAAATTAATGTTTCCAGGCGGAGGGAGTGTTTGTGAGAGCCAGTGACAAAGTATAAACAATAACAACACAGATTATTATGGCATTGCCCGCTGTGCTGCGTATTACACGGTCACAGGCTGTATATTCAATGTGTATAAAAGTCTCAAAATTGTAAAAAAAAAAAAATGTCTAAATGGCCTAGGGCAGGGGAGGCAAAAAAAATAAAATAAATAATAATAATTAAAAATTAAAATGTACGTTTTTATAGTGAGCTGCAGCCATTTATAGAGAGATCAGACAGAGAGACAAATAAACCTAAAGCCACAGTTACATTAAACCTACACAGAGCGCCCTTCGCGGTGTAATTTGTATTTATTATATTATAATATAAGACATTTATTCGCTTTGGTTTGTTTTTTGGGTTTTTTTCTCTCCCCCCCACCCCCTCACAATTTTTTGGCGCGCTCGTGCACGCGCACTGTACTCCCATCCCCCTGTCGTGGCCGCGCCCTATATAAAGCGCGCTCCCCCCTGCGGGTGGCTCCAAGATGGCGCCGGGGAGCTGCGCTGGCGCCCTCGGGCTTTGCGGCGGTTTTGCGGGGCGGTGAGGGCGCGCGGCGGGCGCCCTGGGCCCCCAGCGGGTGCACGGCGGTTTGCGACGCCGGACGGTGCGCGTGTCGGAGCGTGGGGTTGCGCCGCCGGGAGCCTCACCTGGGGCCGAGGCGAGCTCCAGTCACTGACTCCTGTCCGCTCGCTGCTATACCGCCTCCGCCTTTCCCTCCCCGCCGGGGCTGCCATCTTGTATTCCAGCCGCGGCCCTGCCTAGTGCGCATGCGCGGCCCCCAAGCTGGGACTGTCCGGGCCGCGCCGCCATCTTGGTTGTGGCACTTTGCTGCTAAGTAGGAGTATAGTAGTATATTACAGCTAGGCTATGACAAGGGGGCGGCAAGCAACCATTGGCAAGCCAGGTGTTGTGGACTACTACTCCCATAATGCTGGCAAAGCATCGGGGAGATGTCTACAACATCTGGGGAGCCAAAAGTTGCTTTACCCCTGTGCTATGAGATGCCCTGGCTCTTGTTAATGCTGTGTTACCCTAATATACAAATTGCAACATTTTAAAATAAAATAGCTGGAAACATTGTCCACCTCTGTATAGTCATTTTTGGCTTTTTTTTTGTGTTGCTATTTGTATTTGCTACAATTCAGTGTAGTGAATATACCCCATAGGCTTTTCCCTAACCTATTATATAAACAAACTGCCCCAGATAGTTTAGATTGCCCCGGATATTGACTGGGTTATTCACTAAAATGCGAAGTGTCAGGGAATGGGAGTAGAAGACAAATGTAGCTGAGCTGGGAACAGATGCCTTAGACCAGGGGTGCCCACAAGATATGGGAATGTGATTACTGGTTTGGTAAAATAAAACACCCAGTTCAGTAAATATTAAAGGGGAACTGTCACTTCTCAAGATTATTTTTTTTTTTTTTTGTGTCTATTTATTCATATGTATTTAACCATTTGTGATGTGTTCCTGCCCCCCCTCCACCCCCACACACAATTATTATTTTTATTATTTATATAGCGCCATCAGATCCATAGCGCTGTTAAAGGGATACTATAGTCACCAGAAAAACTACAGTGTAATAGTCTGTCCCTGCAGGCATTTTAATTACTGCCTAGTACCCATTCTCGTGGCCGCCACTCAGATGTTTTGCCCTGCATGCGCAATAGCCTCCCAGTGCTTTCCTTTGGGAAAGCTTCGGATTGGCTGAGATAGTGCTGGAATAAAGGTACTTTTTAACCTTTTTCAATGGGGGTAAGGGGGGGCGGTAACCTAAATGGTGTTTTTAACACTGTAGTGTCAGGAATACACACATTTGTTGACACCTTTTTATCCTGCAAGTGGATGTTTCTGTCCTTGGCAGTCATTATTATAAGCTCTGTCCTCTGCACAGGCAAAACATATAGAGGAGAGGAGAAATGAAACGGATTCTATTTCTCCTCTTCATTTGCAATGTTTGCCATGGCTTTGCTTTGTCTGAACTGGATCATGATGTCACTTGATAAAATGTTAAAAACGAAGTTGTCACGGTGTGAAGTCGTCCTGGCTGCCGACAAAGGTTAATGAACAGTTTAACCCCAAAATCCTCAAGTTCCTGGTTACTCTGCCCTGTACTTCCCTTCAAAGTTTGAGGATCCAATCAGAAAGCCTCCGACTGGACACCGATGAGAGGTTGACATTATGGAGGGTGCATTTACTGTCACTTAATAAAACTGTCAATTTCTCTAGACAGAGGCACTTTTATTAATGACAAAGAAGGAAAACTCTGTTAAATCCAAAAGCACCTCAGTAAGATAAAATGCTTTAGAGGTGGAGTGTTCCTTTCAAGGCTCAACATATATTTAAGGTCCACCTTGTTACAGCATTGAACAGCACTATTAAAGCTCAAGAGATACATTTATTAAACATATTCTAGAACTATTACCTTATAATGGGGCATGGTACTCAGCCTAAGTATCTCCGTTAATATCCCTCTTTTTTCCAGCAGGACACCTTCAGTGATTGTAGCAGGTCACCCAAACATCAGCCTAGACTTGAGGAAGGGTGAAAACACGACACTTTATTTGGTTCAAATGTACATATTTATCCACAGACCCCAGCAGGAGGCCATTAACTCAAACAATGGAATTCCCAACTAGGCATCTCTGTCAGAGAGATAACTAGATTAATCAACACTAATCTAATCAACCTCCAGACAAGGCACCTTAATAGAATATCCCCACAAGACACATACAAACATCGCAAAACCCCACGTGTGGAATCCCCAGATGGCGTGTTCCTGAGCTCCCTAACTGGCAAAATAGCGCCGTGATCCGTCACGGGGGGGTGCAAGCTACAACAGATTAACCCCTTAAGGACCAAACTGGAATAAAAGGGAATCTTAACATGTCGCACATCTCGTGTCCTTAAGGGGTTAAAGGACCACTATAGGCACCCAGACCACTTTAGCTCAATGCAGTGGTCTGGGTGCCAGGTCCATCTAGGGTTAACCCTGTCTGCTGTAAACATAGTTTCAGATAAAACTAGACAGCCACTAGAGGCGCTTCCGCGCTTCTCACTGTGATCTTAACAGTGAGAAGACGCCAGCATCCATAGGAAAGCATTGAGAATCCTTTCCTGTGGACTGGCTGAATGTGTGCGCGGCTCATGCCGCGCAGGCGCATTCAGCCGATGGCGGAGAGTCCCCACTGCAGAGGGAGCCCAGCGGTGGAGAAAATGTATGTGTTTAACCCCTTCCTCACCCTAGAGCCCAGAGGGTGGGGGGGACCTAGAGACCCTATAGTGCCAGGAAAACGAGTATGTTTTTTTCTGGCACTATAGTGGTCCTTTAAAGTTTCAGCTGGCTGTTTCAAAGTTCCTATTTGTTCGGCAGTTCGGGAAGGTTTCCAGTTTTGTCCCTGGAGGGCGCATGGAGCCCTCACAGCCAATCAGTCTGTGGAAGTCTGGTCTGGTCTGGTCATCTCCAATAAGCAGAAGATGACTTCGTCATAAGAGGGGTCTGTGAAGTTTAAAAAGGGAGTCACCCATGAACCCGCCATGGCCCCCCTCCCAAACTCAAACCTACCCCCATTTGTCCCCATTCTCAGGGGGCCGCCGTGACACTCACACATTAAAACGCTAAATCCGGAACCCTGTGTTTCCATCCAGGGGCAATTGCTATCACATACCTGTTCTAAGAAAAATACAGTATGAATGAACATTGTATATTTTGTAGTGCAGTGAAAGAAAATATTAATGTTATTAATGTTCATTTTTAAGAGAATCTAAAATCTTGGCTTCCAATAGCTGCAGTTCTAGTAGCACTTCATCAAGGGAAAAAGTAGAGAAAAAAATATATATAGATATATGTGTGTGTGTGTGCATATATGTATGTATGTGTATATATATATATATATATATATATATATATATATTATCTCACAAAAGTGGGTACGCCCCTCACATTTTTGTAAATATTTTATCTTTTCATGTGACAACACTGAAGAAATGACACTCTGCTACAATGTAAAGTAGTAAGTGTACAGCCTGTACAGCAGTGTAAATTTGCTGTCCCCTCAAAATAACTCAACACACTTAATTTCTAAACCGTTGGCACAAAAGTGAGTACACATGAAAAGATATATATATATATATATATATATATATTTATTATATATAGTTCAACAGAAAAGGCTATGTCTCAATGTGCCCTTTGCAGCCCCCATGTCATTGATGGTGTGCTAAGTTATGACTTCCAATCTAAAAATTATCCAGAAGCCAATGCTGCTAAGGTCTCGGAAAATCTTAAATGCCAAAGTTATATGACCTCCGGTGGCATATGAAGGATGACAAGGGTAGGATTAAAGGTTAGGTGTCAAGGTAGTTGGAAGGCAAATTTGCAGGAAGCTAGGCAGGTTTACATTTTTGAGTGGAGAATGGGGAGTGAGTCAGGGATTGGTTGGGGCCTGAGGTGCAAGGAATGTGGCAGGAAAGTGCCTATTTGTATTGCAGGGCTCACCTCAAGGATCCCGCTTGGACGTAGTGGAGAAAACTAAGAAAATAATCTGGAGCTGTCTGGACCCCTGTCCTCCCCAACCCTTGTTTATTGTTTTTCATTATTTGTGGGTTGCACTTTTTTCATGGTGTTTGTACAGGGTGAACCAAAATTCAAAGTAAGGATTGAGATATTAATAACTTTTTTTAAATTAATTTCAGTAATATTACGTACAATAAATGCTTAACATAAGGAGATTTTTTTGACTAGGTACAGAAGATGACATCTAAATGAGCTTCATTTGATGCCTTGCAAAGTCGGGTTCTTTAGATTGCATTGTTCATAACATTACTTAATGTTTTAGGTTCTAGTGCTCGAATTTCTGCATGGATATTCTCCTTGAGCTGCTCAAATGTATGCGGTATGTTCACGTACACGCGCTCCTTCCGATATCCTCACAGGAGGTAATTGGGAGATGCAAGGTCGGGCAAATCGGCGAGCGGGTAATTTCAAGAAATTCCCAGAACAGTTGTCGTTTTGAAAATAAAATTCCACTATTTTTTAATCGTTGTTCCGTCATGAAATTACCCATGGTGAATACCACAAGACTCAGTTAAATTAAGTCAAATCCTACTCTGAATTTTGTTCCACCCTGTATTATAGGGGGGATGGGGGGGAGAGAGCATAATAGTTGTTAATTAGTTATACAGTATTAATGTTTATTATATGTTTTAGGGGCAGTCAGGTTAATAAATGACTGACTATTTGAAGTTCTGATTCTGAAAAGTAAAAGTTTTTTAAATGGTTGAATTAAATGATAAATTCTAATTGGGATTTATATTACAGCTTCTAATTTATTTGTATGCCTTTCTTATGCAAAAAAAATAATACACCAAGGCCTTTGCCCAACAATTTCTTTTGAAAAAAGAAATCCTATGCCTTTGTTTATTACGTGGTCTCTTATTTAATGTATTGTATTAAAATGATTGCCTACCATGCATATTCTTTACAAGGCTTGGTTTGGTGGTTCAAGAAGAGTATGAGGTGGATGATTTGCATTAATCTGCAATCCAAGTTTTTGAAAGACGCCTTTGTGCGTGATCATAATGTTCTGTCTGGATCTCCACCTATACTGGATCCCCCGATCTCTGAGAACTGATGTAATTATGGAATGTCTCCAGCGCCGTAGTAAAGATCCTGTATGTAAGAAAGGATAAATGTGTGATGACCTCAGAGGTGGGAGAGGTGGGTTTAGAATATTTATGCTGGGTTATTGTCAGATTTTTGGCAATTTTATCTTCCAAATAATTGTAATAATACAAAAAATAAAAAGTAACGGTAAGGGAGATTGGAGCCCCATCTCTGGCATTAGCTTCCAGTTGGAGTGATTAGTCACAGCTTAGTGAGGCTGTCCGCTCTACATTTAAATGGTGTCTGCACACAGAGTGCTTTCATGTGCTGCCTACAATGGGACTTTGTGTAGGCCGATTTTGCAGCCAAATGCCAGCCGTTAACCTCTGCAGTTCTGCTTCTTAAACTTGAACCTGGCCACCAGAGTTCTGTAGTTTTTAGAGAAAAGATCTGCTAAAGAGAATATTATAACGTGGAATATTTGCATGTAAAATAAGCTAGTCATCAAGTATAGAAGTTCCAAGTTCTAAAACTTGGAAACCATTTTCTCCTACAGTGATGTAGAACAAGTGTCACACCTTCCCCAAGAGGCTAATGAGGTGGTTCTCAAATTCTGGCTAGAGGGCAACTGTTGCTAGTGGAGGCTAAAGTAAAATTTGTGTGCTAAGGGGCTTAGTATGCCATAACTATGACGGCCTACAATATCAAGTTCTACACTACTAAATGTTACTAGCCACTGCAACCCTGGAGGGTCTATGACATACGATGGGTTAACTTCTACTGGCCATTGCTAGTGGTGAGTGTACAGTTTGAGCCATGATAACATCATCACCAAGTAACCTGTCACAACTTAGATCTCTTATCTGCACAGAATGCAAACGGAGAGAGGGAACAACATCTAAGATTTTTGAAGAATTTTGTAAAGGAAGGGAAAAGACAATAAGTAGGACATTAAGTATTAATAGTGGAAGAAATTAGTAATTAGTAACATACGGATGTGAGAGCTGGACTATAGAGAAGGCTGAGCATCGTAGAATTGATGCCTTCTAACTGTGGTGTTGGGAAAACTGCAAGAAGATCTAATAAATCCGTACTAAAGGAAATCAAGACAAACTGTTCACTGGAAGCTATGATCATGAGGCTGAAGCTCAAATATTTTGGCCATATAATGAGAAGACTCTGATGCTGGGAAAGATTCAAGGCACACGAAGAAGCGGACAACAGAGACGGAGATGGATAGATGAGATCATTGAAGCCACGAACTGGAAGTTGTTGGAGCTCAGAGGGCAGTGACTGACAGATGTACCTGGCCTGCTACAGTCCATATGGTCATGGAGAGTCGGACACGACTAAACAACAACAATGTTATCTTATTGAATTGGTCAGAGGGTCTAGAGTACCTTGGCACTGTCCCTCCATTCAGTGTTGAACCATTTTCAAGCAGTTTAACACATTCCAGCCCCGACTATAGGAATGGTTAAGACATAGACTCTTCCTTATCTATACCAGGTCATACCAGCAATGGACACTCTGATAGGCTGAAAGAAGTCAGCTGACAGTCTCAGCCATTCACAGCCACCCATTGCTGCTCAGGCTAATACTTCCTCATTCACCCAAGCAGCACAGATGGGAAGGGACTGCTGGGGACTCTCATTTAGTATTTAGCACTTGAAAATGGTTTAACATGGCTGGCCTGGACCAGGGAACTCCAAACACCACAGCCAATTAATTGAGATTATTTGGTTACAGTGCCTAAAGTGTCCCTTTAATAGCCAACTTTGTTTTCTGTAGCCTTCTTCCCCAACCACACTTTTTGTTTTGGTTGCAAAAGACAGGTGGTTTTTGTCTAGTCTGAGCCAAGCCCCCAAGAAATAAGAGTGTGACTCCTGTTCATGTCAACACTGACTCCGGGACCTCAACATATTGGCTGACATGCTGCATTCCCTAACTTCAGGCTCATTCGGCAATTGCTCTTTACTGCTGTGCTCAGCTACTTACACAATTTGATTCATTAGAACGGACTAGTGATCGGGACTCCTTCACAGAGTAAGAAATGTACCCCTTCACAGCAGCCTTGGATGATTTGTACATATGCACATACGATCCTCTTTGTCTGTGTTGTAACAGGTGTTCACATGGTAATCACAATGCTGAACATGTTTTCTGTGTGGTTATCCTTGGTTTGCAGCTTTTATGTCTGACTCACACTGGGTTTTAAAATAGATATTCAGCTGTGCATTACCACTTGCTTAAAGTTAGATAGCTGAAAACTTGAGAGAAAGAAAGAGGGGCAAAGGGAGAGAGCACAGGAAATACTGTATTCTGAAGTGGGTATGGTGCAGCAGTTGTGCTGTCAAATATTTAATTGAGTTACTTTGCCAGGGTGTAACTCCACCTCTAACTTCTGTCAATCAGCCTGGTCAGAACATATCTGAAAGCAAGGATCAATTGA